TGTGGTAGTTTTTCTTATCCAGCTTAAAGTGTACCTACATAATTTGTCAATACAAATAGTTAAAAAGCTTCAACTGAATTTGATCTACATCAAAAAATTATTATAACTTTAAAAATTTTAATAAATCACATGTCATGGGAGTAGGTATTAAATATTTTCATATTGCAAGTTTCTCTAAAAATTGTTTGTTTTCTTATAATCTACATAACTTAAAGTAGGTATGCCGAGAGGTATGCACAAGTTTTGTCATTAGAAGTATAAGAGCATATTCAACAATTATTTAGTATACCTATATTTATTTATGACCAAATTAACACACTCTTCCAAATAATCCACTTATTTATTTTGGTCAAAATAGATTTTTCTAACCTTAAAATACAAAATTAGATGAAATTTTTTGTTCTAATACATGAACCTACCTTTGATATATCAAATACAGATATTCTTATTTCATAATAGAGAAGTTAGATTTTTTTTAATAAATTCTGTTTAGTTAAAACTATTTTATGGAGAAATGTAGACCCAATGCACAAAAATATCACTTATATTGCACCTTACACTTTGGAATTTCATTAAATGCAGTATTTATATTCCTAAATTCTTAAACCAACCATGTTATTGTGATACTATAAAGATTTATTAACTTTTAACGCTTAAACATAAGCGGTATCACTATAAATATGATTTCTTTCATTGACTATACTTTGACAGATACCTACATGAAAAGCCTTAAATGCCAAATTTTCAAAAGACTGCGTTCCGTACTTGGTCACGTGGTGGGACTTTGAGGTGTGGAGCATAGTACCTATAATTATTGCTGGAAATTGATGAAAATTGGTCTGGAAAACCTGGAAAAGTCAGGGAATTTTGTTTCATTTTCTTGGTGGGAACCCTGTGCTGACAAAATTAATTTTTTCACAACTAATTAGCGACTAAAAACGGCAAATTACGCACCAAGGAACTTTGTATTTTGATACATTTTTGCTATATTGCAACTACGTAAAACTGAAATAGTTAAAGAACTAATGTCATAAGACGAAATTTTTTTGAAAAAGAAAAGCATTAGTCAATTTGTTTTCAAAATTTTTGAAGTGGTACCAGAGAACAGTCTCAATTTTAAACTTAAAAGCTTATTAAGTACAAAATTACTCGTAGTTTTTCCCCTGTACGAGGTGTGGAGCCCAAATCGTTTTTATGCAAAAATAATATTATAAAGTATGTAGGTACCTACTGGATAAAAGTTTATTTTTATTTTGCTTGTTAAAATAAAAAAAACTGTATTTTTAATTTTAGTATGATAAATTGTTATTTATAATGGTTTGCTGTTTATCTTGTGAACTCTTCACTTTAAAAATAAAGAAAAATACAACACAAATAAGGAAAATTGGATATGTTTATTTTATATAAAAGTTTTAATCTTAATATGTCCAATTTGTTATCAAAATAAATAAGTACTTGTTTTTCTTTTAACGAACTAGTTTGAAGTGAAAGTGGTTTTACAAACGATCTGTTATCAGTCAATGAAAAGTACTTGCTGAATAACTACAGAATTTTTAGATTAACGAAGCAGTTAAAAGTGTGTAGCATAGAAAAATGTTTGGATATAATTATTATGGCAGCTATGTTCCAAGGTAATATGTTTTTTATGTCCTTAATAAAACTTAATAAGACATTTCTTTTTGTGAACAATCATATATGATTCACGAAAAGAAATGTCTGACCATCAAAGGTCAACATTGGCTAATGCCACTTAAACTATTTATATTTAATATTTTTGTGTGAGATATTAATAACCTTTCTTAGACTGAAATAATTAAACATGTTTTTGGAAAAAAACATATTCTAAAGAACATTATCATCTAGTTAAAAATTAACTTGATTCTTTTTTAAAGGCAGCGTTTATTATATTCGATTTTGCGTATATATACATACATATTAGGGTGGGTAAAAAAAATCGACTATTTTTATTTTGACTTCTGCCACTGAAAAATCGGTTTCTGGGCACCTTCAAAACATGCTTAGCAACGATGAGCTCTTAACTTTGATGGGAAGATCCGCCTCATTACAGTTTTGCATATTTTTCTTAGTCCCCTACAAAAAAATTCATATCTCATCATTCGTTAATCATACAGCAAAACTCTAAAGGAGTTATTTGTAGAAAATTAAATGTTCTACAAAAAAGATCTCTTATACTTTTTTGATCAATCTAACTATTAAAGAGATATTCAAGGTCAAAGATTGAAGAATTTTAAAAAAGATAACTTTTCTGTTCTGAATTTTGTAACTTACTGAAAAAAAATTATCGACAATTGAGATTTTACTATGTCTATCGGAAATTAAACGCTCTACAAAAAAGGTCTCTTAGGATTTATCGATTACTCTAACCAATCAAAAGATATTCGCATATGAATAGCAGTATGCACTGACATGCACATTTTGGCATTGTTTTTATGTGTAGAATAAAAACGATGGTTCCTTGAAACGCCGACATCAATAAAACGCAAGTGATTTTTAGAAAGTTTTTTGCATATTGCAAGGTGGCTTTTTTATTCTTGATAATATGATACAATTTTTTTGATGATATTTTGCCGCCCTGTGTTAGTGCCGCCCGGGTGCCATGCACCCCTTGCACCCCCGGCACGGCTATAAATATATATGTATATATACCACAGGTCTGTGATATATACCCATATAAAACTATTCACAAAAATGTATTCTGTCAAGTTATCTATAAAAAACATTAAAATAAAATTAAACTAACATGGGACCTATAAATATTCCTATGCTTAGTTTTGACAAATAAAAAACGCACTAGACTTAAAACAAAAATTATCTACAATTATGTAGGTTTTCGTTACCTCTACTGCTCTACTGGCTAGGGTAATACAAGCCTGCGCAGCCATTACACCAGAACAAATATGAAAGTGTTTTGAAATAAATGGTGGATTAGTAGAGATGACGAAAATCTGATTGTAGAGGATTTTTGGAATTCTCTATTTTTTGTTTCATTGTTGTTTTAAGTTTCTTTTGCGTTTTTTATTTGTGAAAACTAAGCATAAAATATTATATATTAAATAAATTTTATACCATGTCACTATTATGTTTTCTTTATGGATAACTTGACAGAATAAATTTAGTAATTATTGTGCATTTTTAATATAGCTACAAAATCATTACTATTTAAAAAATTTCAACAAAATTTAGTATAGGGTTGTTTTGAGGGTTGGTTAATCCAGTGCCGTGGATAGATTTTTTTAAATCGCTAATATGAATTTTAAAAAATTTCTCTCAAAAACTGTTATAGTACTTACCCTATTTTGTAAAATTATAGTGTTTTTTGCTCAAAAAATTCAGTTTATCAAGATCTACACAAATCCGGTTAAAATCGCACAATAAATAAAGATTTTACAGGGGTGAGTCACAAACAAATGGGTCACACTGTATGTTTCTTTCTCGTTTTATCTCGTTCCCGTTCCGATCTTGTCACATTCTTCAATTCTTCATTGATCAATTAATAAAAACAAATCAAGTTAAAAAAATAGCCTATATTGCTCTCTAAAAAGTCCTCTACATGCCATTAAAAGTCCAATCAAATTCGATTTAGTGGTTCGGAGACTACCCAGATAAACAAACACAGTCATGGGCTGAAGTTAGCAATAATGGCTTTTGGGCATTTTAGTCACGGGCTGAAGTTGGCTTTATTATAAATTGGGAAAAAGTGAGATTAAATCATTTCACAGTTGACAGATGTAAAATGTTTAACAAATAAAATTGGAATCTTTTGTGTTCGTCGAGGTGTTCGTCGTATACAAACTATAGTATGCAGCTCGTTTTATAAACTTCTCTAGACACTTGTTTTATTAAACACTCTCTCGTGCCTAATAAGACTCGTAAGTAAAATGGCGTTTATAAAACTTGATACATAATATACTATTATAATATAATATAATATAATATAACATATTATGTATGTGCGTATATGAGTATGTATTTATGTATAGATTTATAGATTATTTAAAAATTTGTATAGAAATGTGAGTACATTTTTGTATTTATGCACGATGACATTATAATTTGACAATTATAACAAAAATTCTTTGACGTAAACGTCTTTTTATAGCCCGCGGGCGTTATTATGGCCCAGCGGGCTATAATGAAACGTCAAAAATTAAAAACAACAATGTTACACCATTTGATATATTCGAAGTAAGTTTTTTCGTATAAAGATTTTGATTTTACCGGCAGCAGGCCGCAATTTTTCGCCTTTTTAGCTGCTTCCTCAATTTCATTTATCTTTAAACTTTAAAACTGACTGATGTCAGTTGACATTATAATATGACAATTATAACAAAAATTCTTTGACGTAAACGTCTTTAAAAACAATAATTTATTAAAAATAATAATATATTAATCGTGCATAAAGTTTTGTATGCATTGCTGGCATAACTGGTTTTTATGGTCCTACGACGCTTTTCTAGCCCTCGCGCTAACGCGCTCGGGCTCGAAATAGCGCCTCGGACCATAAAAACCTTATTATGCCCTTAATACATAAATAACTATTACGAGTTATAGGTAGGTAAATTGTATAATTATAACATACCAATTTCATTTTTGGATTAATTAATTCATCATCAATAAAAACAACATAAATAAATAGTAATCCTTATTAATTAATTGCAAGTTGCAATAAATCACTTTGTAAAAAATAACAAATATTTTCTTAATATCTAAATGCATACAATATACATCGAATATCAATGAGGTCGACCAATTAAAAATGTATCATTGAATAAAATAGCAAAAAAATAAATTTCTGGGTCACCGATTGCAATTTACAAGTATGTACTTATGGAATTTTAAAAACAATAAAATTATTTTTTATTAATAATTGTTTTTAACGAATTCTCGACTTTTTAACACTGCGTATAATTTGTTTATAGTCACAGATAAAACAGGAATGTTTATAACATGTTTTAGTAATCGTTTTACTTTTATTTCAGGAATGGTGTAAATGTCGAGGGAGCGACACATAAACAAGTAGTGGATCTCATAAAATCTGGAGGAGACGTTTTAACTTTAACAGTTATATCAGTTACACAACAGGTAAAGAATTTCACACTTTCGTTATTACAAGTAGAATTACGGTAATTTCCCGGTATGAAGAAAATCGGTGCTGGCTTATTGAGTTCCTAATTTTTATAATAATAATTTATATTTCAAAAAAACAAATAGATAAAAACTACAATATAATATTTACAGTTATTATTTAATAGTATATTATCATTGAGTAAAGTGTACTCAATGATATTATACTACAAGGGCCGAAAGTTGAATTTTAGGCCCTGCGCGAGATTTCAACGTTTGGCCCGTGTGGTGTATAATATTTTTCTTCATGCATCGTTCGAAAGTACTTACTTTCGTCCCTAATAGCAGGGACGAAAGTCTACCTCGTTCGAAAGTACGTACTTTCGTTCCTAATAGCACAGGGAGTAAATGTTAAACTTTCGTCCCTGCTATTAGGGACGAAAGTAAGTACTTTCGGACAAGGTATGAAGAAAAAACAATTTTTTATCATTTTATTAATTTAAAAATAATCATGTTTAGTCATAATTCATGACTAAACCACATAAATTGCTATCATAGGGTACCGGAAAAATTATATCAGAATTTTTGGTATATACCAAAAATTCTGATATAATTTTTCCGGTACCCTATGAAATATGTATATACATAGTTTTCATCTAAAAAAGAGCTATTTTTTTACAATTTTTGAGATGGGGGTGACGTCAGTTTGTGCGTGTTTTGCATCACTGTATATTGAAATTATTGTATACAGTTTACCAAGCCCACTATTCAATTCAACCTTTATAGATAGACGCAAACCTTTTTTTAAGATATTTAATTAATGGAAAATTGTATACGCACCCATAATATTTATATTAAATGAGAGACCTCGGTTCGCAAATTAATTTCGATTGAAAAATTACTTTATTATACTAATTATAACGATGTTGTTTGGCAAAAGGCGACACTTAATTAAATAGTATTATGTGCGAAATCAAACGATCTTGTGCATAGCAATGACCGTTATACAACTTGTTGACGCTGGTTATAATAACAATTTACAACAATTAACAAATAAAAAGCTGTTATTGACACTTGCAACTGACGATTAAACTTACAGAGTAAAGACAAAACCTTATTTACAACACAAATACGTACGACCTAACTTTTTTATTTTACAATAGATTACAACACAATTGTAAGCTCTCAGCAGTTATCGATTTTTTTAACAGACTAGGGTTTAAAAAACTTTACCTGATTGGTCTAATTTATTTTTACAGCCTAGGAGATAATCGAATACTTTGGTAGTGAGCGTTGACAATAGTAAAGCTTAAATTATAGAATGCTTGAAGATAAAAGTTATTATTATTTAAGTCATTTAGAAGTGAGCATTTTTGTACCAAGTCCCAAGTTTTTTTTAGAGAAACAAAAAAAGACTAACTTCTTAGCCGCATTACATACAACATACAACATAATATTATTAGGTAAACGATAAATAAAACGTACAATGAAGTAGAAAGATAGGTTAGGTAGATCTGACTGAAGTCCAATTTTTTTATTGATCCAAGTAGGTTTTTTACAGATTAGGAGGTAAAAAACTTCACCCGATTGGTCTAAATTATTTTTACAGCCTAGGGCCCAGGCGATAAAGTTTAAATTAAAAAACGCTGAAAGATAAAAAATTATGTCAAGACTTTTAATAATTTGGCTTTAAGAGAAGATAAAATAAAAAAATGGGTTATATCATCTTTTTATGTAAAATTTGGTATAAAAATCATTTTGCCATTTAAATTGATTACAAAGGTCACCCCGACCACGCAGGGGCTACCCCAAAAGGAGTGGTAATATAAAATTTGAGACCGCTGATTAATTTCATAACTATACAGGGTGTTTTTTCAGTTTGCATGGTTTGAAATTATCATAATAGGTAAAAACTGTAATTTAATTTTGAATATTTAATTATATATTTTATCTTTGAAACAAACAATAATAATGATATTTTGTTAAAATTAAACCATGAAAGCTGGATATAAAATTTAGCAGTATAAAGATTTTTTTAAGGAAGTACATACATATGTATGTGTATGATAATTTGGAATAAAAAAATAAGGAAAAATAATGAAGAAATATAATAAAGGTTAAGTGGAAGATAAACGACTACACTGTATTAGCTAAACTTTGATTAAATTTATTAAAATCAATTTAGACATTTATTATTATTATTATTTTCATATTTTTTTTTAATATACCTATATAAAATAATGAGATTTACACCAATAATATTTTTGATAAAATATGTTTGTAATTTTTAATAAAAACCTTGTTGAAAAAAGATTACTTAAAAATCCACGACCGATAAAATATTTCCTTTATTAAATTGTATAATTAGCAATAATTCATTATAAGAAGATTAAAGTTGTGGAAAAAAATATGCACTGAAATTTATGTATAATTACTAGAGACCGGATTCTATACAAAGTGCCCATCGTCAATTTAGATAGGCCGTTAAAAATTCTTAGTGCAAAATGTGCTTTGGACATTTGCACATCATTTTTGCCTTTTTTGCTTTTTTGGGCCATATAAAGCTAAACCTTGACTTAAATTACTAAATGCCTGCCTAAAATCGGAAACATAACGCCTTACTAATACTTTTATTTTGTTTAATTACCTTTATTTTTATAAAAAAAACGATTTTTAAGCGCAACACTATGGTAAGCTAAATTGCAACACTCTAGTGTGCAGACTCTCTAGTTGTTTTGTTTGCATCAATACAGGGGTGATTTAAATAAAAAATACATTAGAAAATAACGAAAGGAACAGCCGGAAAATCGTACAACTTTGGATTAATTTGAATAGATGGCGTTCGTAGCTGAGCTTCAAATGAAATGAAAAAACATAACCACAAATTCATTCATTCAATTGTTTTAGCAAAAAATAAGTTTAAATAGTAAAGTTCTCAAATGTTTAAATTAATTTAAATAGTAAAGTTCTCAAGGTAAAACTGACAGATTGGAGCGACTGTGAAAACAATTCCTTGTCGTTTTACAGTGTTCAATGAATTGGAGTTGAAAGGTTCATAAGGATTGATAATCGCTTATAAATAATTTTAGGTGGAACGAAGTTCACCGGTTCATCTAGTAGTATCTCTCTAGGAAGGCCATTTTTGTCTTATGCTTTTTTCGGGTGCCTTATTAAGAGCCTTTTTAAAATTTGTGCCTAAAAGTCCGGTCTCTAATACTTACGTATAAATAAACTCCATCTATACCAATTTAAAATCATTATTTATAAACATTATTTATTATTTTAATTGTCAAACCCCCAAAAATGTTTAAATAAAAAATGAATCAATAAACAAATTGGGTTCCTTATAATAAAAAAAATAGCTCTTTTTTAGATGAAAACTATGTATATACATATTTCATAGGGTACCGGAAAAATTATATCAGAATTTTTGGTATATACGGAATTGTTTTCACAGTCGCTCCAATCTGTCAGTTTTACCTTGAGAACTTTACTATTTAAATTAATTTAAACATTTGAGAACTTTACTATTTAAACTTATTTTTTGCTAAAACAATTGAATGAATGAATTTGTGGTTATGTTTTTTCATTTCATTTGAAGCTCAGCTACGAACGCCATCTATTCAAATTAATCCAAAGTTGTACGATTTTCCGGCTGTTCCTTTCGTTATTTTCTAATGTATTTTTTATTTAAATCACCCCTGTATTGATGCAAACAAAACAACTAGAGAGTCTGCACACTAGAGTGTTGCAATTTAGCTTACCATAGTGTTGCGCTTAAAAATCGTTTTTTTTATAAAAATAAAGGTAATTAAACAAAATAAAAGTATTAGTAAGGCGTTATGTTTCCGATTTTAGGCAGGCATTTAGTAATTTAAGTCAAGGTTTAGCTTTATATGGCCCAAAAAAGCAAAAAAGGCAAAAATGATGTGCAAATGTCCAAAGCACATTTTGCACTAAGAATTTTTAACGGCCTATCTAAATTGACGATGGGCACTTTGTATAGAATCCGGTCTCTAGTAATTATACATAAATTTCAGTGCATATTTTTTTCCACAACTTTAATCTTCTTATAATGAATTATTGCTAATTATACAATTTAATAAAGGAAATATTTTATCGGTCGTGGATTTTTAAGTAATCTTTTTTCAACAAGGTTTTTATTAAAAATTACAAACATATTTTATCAAAAATATTATTGGTGTAAATCTCATTATTTTATATAGGTATATTAAAAAAATAAATATGAAAATAATAATAATAATAAATGTCTAAATTGATTTTAATAAATTTAATCAAAGTTTAGCTAATACAGTGTAGTTCGTTTATCTTCCACTTAACCTTTATTATATTTCTTCATTATTTTTCCTTATTTTTTTATTCCAAATAATCATACACATACATATGTACTTCCTTAAAAAAATCTTTATACTGCTAAATTTTATATCCAGCTTTCATGGTTTAATTTTAACAAAATATCATTATTATTGTTTGTTTCAAAGATAAAATATATAATTAAATATTCAAAATTAAATTACAGTTTTTACCTATGGCTATTATGATAATTTCAAACCATGCAAACTGAAAAAACACCCTGTATAGTTATGAAATAAGTCAGCGGTCTCAAATTTTATATTACTACTCCTTTTGGGGTAGCCCCTGCGTGGTCGGGGTGACCTTTGTAATCAATTTAAATGGCAAAATGATTTTTATACCAAATTTTACATAAAAAGATGATATAACCCATTTTTTATTTTATCTTCTCTTAAACCCAAATTATTATTATTATATAAGTCTTGACATAATTTTTTATCTTTCAGCGTTTTTTAATTTAAACTTTATCGCCTATAGGCCCTAGGCTGTAAAAATAATTTAGACCAATCGGGTGAAGTTTTTTACCTCCTAATCTGTAAAAAACCTGTTTGGATCAATAAAAAAATTGGACTTCAGTCAGATCTACCTAACCTATCTTTCTACTTCATTGTACGTTTTATTTATCGTTTACCTAATAATATTATGTTGTATGTAGTATGTAATGCGGCTAAGAAGTTAGTCTTTTTTTGTTTCTCTAAAAAAAATTGGGACTTGGTACAAAAATGCTCACTTCTAAATGACTTAAATAATAATAACTATTATCTTCAAGCATTCTATAATTTAAGCTTTACTATTGTCAACGCTCACTACCAAAGTATTCGATTATCTCCTAGTCTGTAAAAATAAATTAGACCAATCAGGTAAAGTTTTTTAAACCCTAGTCTGTTAAAAAAATCGATAACTGCTGAGAGCTTACAATTGTGTTGTAATCTATTGTAAAATAAAAAAGTTAGGTCATACGTATTTGTGTTGTAAATAAGGTTTTGTGTTTCCTCTGTAAGTTTAATCGTCAGTTGCAAGTGTCAATAACAGCTTTTTATTTGTTAATTGTTGTAAATTGTTATTATAACCAGCGTCAACAAGTTGTATAACGGTCATTGCTACGCACAAGATCGTTTGATTTCGCACATAATACTATTTAATTAAGTGTCGCCTTTTGCCAAACAACATCGTTATAATTAGTATAATAAAGTAATTTTTCAATCGAAATTAATTTGCGAACCGAGCTCTCTCATCTAATATAAATATTATGGGTGCGTATACAATTTTCCATTAATTAAATAACTTAAAAAAAGGTTTGCGTCTATCTATAAAGGTTGAATTGAATAGTGGGCTTGGTAAACTGTATACAATAATTTCAATATACAGTGATGCAAAACACGCACAAACTGACGTCACCCCCATCTCAAAAATTGTAACTATTAAACACAGGGTACTTAAAAAGTATAATATTTTGAATAAAATATAATACCAATCGGCTGAAGGACCTCGGTCAATGGCCATTTGTAAGAAATTGTGTTAACTTTTTTTTGCAATAAAGTTCATTTATTATTATTATTATAATACCAACAGCAACTATACAAAATAAAAAACTAAAGAATGGTCAGTTATTTTTACTAAATTCATCCAAACTTCTTAGAAAATGCTGCAATCCCTAATAATATGGCAACCCACTTTACACAATGTGTCAAATTTTATATAAAATGCCTTGGTAACGTACATATTTAAGGAAAAATTGTATACACATTTAAAAAAATAGTCTCAGCTCTTGCTTTTGCTTATAAGATTAAAAGGCTGACTTTGTCACTTCTTGACGCTTTGCCACCTTTTTTATCAAATGCACTGCAGTTGGGTTGGGAAAATTTCACTTTTTGCTTGTACTTGAAATTTCACTTAAAATTTTCATTACATTTATGAAATTTATTAAAATTTCCTAAACTTCTGAAATTTCATGAAATTTATTAAATTTATTGAAACTCAATAAATTTCAATCACTATAAGTGTAATATATTAATATTGAAATAAGCCCACTCGGGGACCATGGCAAATTGCCTCTCTTACCTCCTTCCCCTCTGTGGGCCCCTGCACCAATAATATAAATAGTAAATAGGTACCTATGTTTACCACAAATTTCTTGAGATTTCCTTTTAAAATATTTTTAAAATTACTAAAATTAAAAGAGATGTAGCACTTTTTGGTAAGCTAATGAGATTGTGCCACTTCATTGTTTTATATTTATTTACTTCATCAAAATTTTATGAGCCAAAGGCATTTTTTATCCGTTTTCCGATGCAATTATAGCAAAAGTAAAAGTTTAAATTAATCATGACTTTTAAAAAAATTTTAAAGTCTGATTTAATTTACAAATTAAATTGGTAACTGAATTAAATTATTTAAATTAATTTATGCATATAAGTAACAATAATTACTTATAGTGTATTCAAATCCAGAGCTGGGCCAAGTACAAGTAAAATGTACTTAAGTACCGAGTACAAAGTACTTTGTATAATTCCTGAAGAAGTACAAAGTACCAAGTACTATACAAATTTCAAAGTACTTTAAGTACAGTACTGCAAGTACAGTACTCAGTACTTTATAATTGTATTTTAAGAGTACATGTCAACAAGACAAGACTCGCTGGTACCAAGACTTGGTAATAGTGAAGCTTTGGAAATACCAAAGTTTTGAAACGTAAACGTAAGTTAAGTTATAATTATAATTGAATGTGAAATAAATCATCTTAGAAATATACAAATTCTATTGTTCTTTTATTTTCATCAAATTCGCTTGAACAAATTGAGGTTGTCACTGACAATTTATCTGGATGCCAAGCTTCGAAATCAAAATTATGCGTACTATAATGAACCTCATTAAAGCACACAAAACATTTAAATTGCGTGTTATAATGAAGTCATTATAAACGCAAAATAAATAAATATATAATATAACCACAGTGGTTAAACCACTCAACCCAGATAGCAAAATGCATGCAGTGTAGGCAAGCGTGCGGATTGGTACATGCTCTGATCCAAACATTTGTGTTGACACATATTATGTAGGGATCAGAGCATGTACCAATCCGCACGCTAGTCCCTGCATGTATTTTGCTATCTGCGTATAATTAAGTACTTCAAAATTTCAAAAATATAGGCAAAGTGAATTAAAAGTAGGCAATTTAATGAAATATTTATTACAAATAAACAATATGGTTTATTAATTATTATTATTTTTAATAATAAGAGTAAGAGTAACTAACAAATTATTGGTTGACTTTGTTTGCTTTCATGATTACCAGTTTCTCAAAGTTTTCGTCTGTCAGTGCATTGCGCCGTGGACTATTCACAATTGTGGCGCAGACAGGTCTCAACTTGTATAAAGTACTTGTAAAAATGTACTTATATTTTAGTCCCAAGTACTGAGTACTCTTAGCAGAATGTTACAAGTACAAGTACCAAGTACATATACAAAGAAGTACTTAAGTATCAAGTACAAAGTACCCTTAAATGTACTCTAAGTACTTTTTCAAGTACTTGTACTTAAGTACCGCCCAGCTCTGTTCAAATCCAAGCCGAACTAAACAAAAACGCCCAGACGCTTGATAACTCGTTCTTATTGGTCGATTCGGAATCTGTTGTATATTATTATTAAAGGTCCCAGGGGAGGCCGCATGTGAAATGCGAAATTTTCAGTAAATTGCGAACTTTCAATGAAATTTCTGAAACTTTCACAGGCAATGTTGAAATTTTCGGATTAAAAATTTCATTTGAAATTTCACTTTTCCCACTAAATGAAATATTTCAAATTTGAAACTTTCAAAGTTGAAATTTTCATTTGAAAATTTCAACTGTCCCAACCCTAACTGAAGTAGTTTTGTCACGCGCCGATAATTATTTTTATAATCGATATTATAATTAAAACAACAAAAGATTCCTAAAATTTTACTGAAAAAAAAATTACGTGATTATCTTTTAAGTGCAATTTTTATGTTTTCTGACGTGACGAAAAAATCTTTAATTTTGAAATCGCATGTTTTACGTATGTTGCCATGACTTTGGTAATAGATGCACGGTAAAAGTCGCAATGGCATACATAAGCATTGTCTGGCACCATACACCTATCATTCCTTTAATTTGTACAGCTGGTGCACTACATTACCAAGGAGGTTGCGACCCCTCTACTCTTTCTTGGAAAACAATCTCACTTAAGTATTCTTGTTTTATAACTTCCAAATTTTTCATGACATTTATACTTCACGAATCGAAACAATTTTTAAAGAAATTTATTTAAATACTGCATTTTTTTAAATTTAAAATTCAAGTTCTTGTTAGCACACCCTACATATATAAACATTTGTTTTTTCTTTAGGAGGCAGAAAGACTGGAACCAACAGACGATAATCAAATTTACTATGATTATAGCGAAAAACGTTCCCTCCCAATTAGTATTCCCGATTACCATTACAATGAACGGGGCGGCGAGCGATACGTCGCCTTCAACATTTACATGGCCGGTCGACACCTCTGCTCTAGAAGATACAGGGAATTCTCAAACTTGCACGCCAACCTTAAAAAGGAATTCATTGGTAAGATAACGACCTTTTAGCCTCTGAGGTTTGAATTTTGGGTACAAAATACAAAATCACCTGAAAACTAACCCTAAATATGAGTCCATTATTTGCAAAACTCGCTAATGGACAAAACCTTAAAAGGTTTTTTTTATCAAAACGAATTTCAAAATTAAAATCGAACATTTGCAAAAATGCCTTTAAAGCATGCAAATATTTTATAAAAAATAACGGTTATATGCAAAACTGGCTCTTTTTTTTTGACGTCTCACTTGCAAAACTCGCTCTTTGCTCTGCCACCAAATCAAATTAAACGCTCGTTGCCCACGTGATAAACACGTGCTTTTGTCTTTCTTATGGCTCCTAGAAAATTACCACTTGGGGAAACACTGAAAGGGGATAAAAAGACTATTATTGGTCTCATTGCAAAACATTATGGAGAAAATTAGACCAGCCTTCCAGAACTAGATTTTTACAAAGAACACTTGCGGAAAGGTTCTTTCTCTTCCTCCGTTGATGGTTTGGAAAGCTGCCAAAATGCCGATGATGACTCCTGTTTTGTTTAAGTTCCCAAGAGTTTCCATTTGTTTTTTAATGTTTATAAGTACTTACTACGTATACGTACGCGTACATATTATTTTGTATTAATACAATTAAACAGTTATTTTTTCCTCAATAAATCCCTTGCCTTCGTTATTAAACTTTTTTAAATTAGATTTATTTTCAAAACTGGCTAAAAATCTGTAAATTTTTTAGGATGCAAACTTATACTTTCCACTCCTATAAACCTTAAGCAACAATAATATATTTTTTGAATGCAAAAAAAGTATTATACTAACGTTAGTCGTTTTTTTTATTTCCCATAAAAATGCATTTCAGCAAATAGCAAGTTTTGCAAATAATGGACTCATATAACAAATTGTATTAAACTTGTAGGTTAGCGTATGCGCCAAAATAAGATATTTTACAGGAGACGATAAAAACGTTAAGGCTTATCCAAGTAATTTACAAAAACGGAATTTTAAAACGTTTTTATGTTTTCCTGTAAAATTTTGGCGCATACGCCTCCTCTGCTTTGATGTCTTCGATAATAATTTATTGTATTCTAGGTTTTACTTTTCCGAAGCTGCCCGGCAAATGGCCTTTTACGTTGAGCGAGCAGCAGCTGGATGCGCGTAGGCGCGGTTTGGAACAGTATTTAGAAAGGGTCTGCGCAATAAGGGTAATTGCGGAGTCTGATGTGATGCAAGAATTCTTAACGGACCAAGATGATGAAAATAATAGTACACCAGTCGATTTAAAGGTAAATATTATTTTAAATAATAAGATAGCAACCGTAACAAGTTTAGAATACAGCATATTTAGCTTTAGTGAAGAGTTTGTCACACAAGCCGAACGCGAGTTTGACGGTTTCGTGGGTGACTAATAAGCCACTGTTGCAACTTGGTGATTATGATCATGGTCCTAGTCAGAGAGGTAATTCTCGGACTTTCCGTTTTAATTTAACTCACAAGGTCCATTTAAAGATTTTGATAAATACAAAACAATAGGCCGTGGCGGTAAATTTAACGGCGCCAATATTAAAAACAAAATGTTGTGTTTTAACAAATTACTACTTTATTACGAATTAAATTTTATTAAAACCTAAAATCAACATAAAAAGTAAATAAGTAACAATATTAATTGTTAATTTGTTATAATGCCAAAATTAAGGTTTAAAACTGAAATATTTTTTTGTTTCTTAATCAATCAAAACGCACGAAATGTAAAAAAAAGCGGTTTTAAAACGTGCGTAAATATTTTTTCGTAGTTTTTTTAAATTTTATAAGTTGTTAACAAGATCCTCTTTTATTGCTTGAATTTGAAAAGAATCTCTGTAACGCATGGAAACAATGTAGGGGAGACCGGGGCGGAATGGGGACTCTAACGTTATTATTTTTAGTAGGGTAGACGAGGTACAAATTAAAAAAAAAGCAGAACGATTTATTAAAGTATTATATAACAAATACTATATTATATTAAAGTATTATAAACGCCATTTTACACACGAATTTAATTAATTAATTAAATGAGTGTCTAGAAAAGTTTATAAACGAGTTGCATACCATATTTTTTCTACAACAAATACTTATTATCTAAAAATGAATTAATAAATAAAACAATGGAGTAACCAACATGGGAATCTCAAATGTCAAATTTTTGTGTGTAATTCAAAATGTATCCCTTGAAAATGGACCGTTTAATCCGATATAGAAGCAGTTTTTCACAGTGAAAGAAAATGTTATATTGCAACTCCATGGTGGAGTCTGCATCCAAAATTAAGTTAAATCTAGTTTACTGCCGGCGTCAGTACAATACAAAAGTGCTCTTTTTAGTCCCAGAAGCCAACTAAATGGCTTGTGCGGGTTAGGGGTAGGAACGGACCGCGGGCTTAAAGTCCCCTTCGAAGGACTATTACACAATAGGACAAACACAAATAAACAGCCATACCCCTGGCGGGATTCGAACCCACGACCTCCGGCTTGTAGCCAGCAGCACTAACCACTAGTCCACCGTCGGCGATGTTCAAATAAACTTTTCAAATATTGACCTTAGAAACAACTTGATACTTTTGTATTTTTGTATTCAGATAATAAAATAAATTTTTGTATTCAGATAACAGAATAATTTTTACATTTAATATTATTTTACATTTTAACAATTATGTCTAAGCTATTAGCACTTCTGCGCGATGCCTTATATTGAATTACGGAACATGCCTATTCATTCTTAGGGGTATATTAAAACTTATACTGGTAAAAATATCAATACAATTAATATGATTGTTTAAAATTTTGAATACATAACATAAGTTAATTTCCTTTCTTCTTTAAACACAAGATGGGTAGAATAAAAAAATATTTAGGGTTTATATATTACCCGCACTTTACCCTTACTTGTATATTAATTTAACATTTCCAATAATATTATAATTAAATAAGTTTATTTAATTAGGAATTTTAGTATTTTTATATGATTTTCGATTATATTTGTTGAATAAGAACTTTTATAGAGTTTAGAATTGATTACCGATTTAAGTATAATTATTAATATGTATATACTGTATCATGTTAAATTATGCTTGTATATATCATATAATATTATTTATCTTATCGTGTATTTAATAGGTATTAATACCGGATAGAGATGTGGTGACTGTGTCTCTAAAAAAAAGCGCAAACGCCGACGAAGTCTACGACGCAGTGATACGGAAAATCGGCTTGCACAAAAGGATTGCGCAATACTTTTATCTGTTCGAAATAGTGGAATACAATTTCGGTGAGTTGAATCCGGCATCATCATTCACTTCGTTTCCTTCGGAATCCGTGTTAACAAACCTTTTGTGATTTATTTTTAGAAAGGAAATTGCAACCGAATGAATACCCTCACAATTTGTATATACAGAATTACAGCACCGCAACCAGTACGTGCCTGTGCGTACGCAAATGGTTGTTTTCAATTAAGAAGGAGCTCACGTTGATGATGGACACGCAGGCCACATCATACATATTTTGGCAAGTAAGTAAATTAATATGTTTTTAATTTAATACATATACTCCACACAAAAAAAACGATAAACATTACAATTTAATGTTATTATTTCTTAAGACGTTTTTATTTTAACTTGTTTTCTTGAGAGTTTATCTGTTCAAATTGTCTAATCGATTTTAAACTAACTGCCCAATAGAGACTTAAAACTTTAATCATAGCTCAGAACTGGATGAAAATACAATCTAGTATAGATACTCTTTATTGTAATTTAATGTCATTATTTTTTAAGACGTTTTTATTTTAACTTGTTTTCTTGAGAGTTTGTCTGTTCAAATTGTCTAATCGATTTTAAACTAACTGCCCAATAGAGACTTAAAGCTTTAATCATAGCTCAGAACTGGATGAAAATACAAGTATAGATAAGGAGTATTGTAATTTATACCTTCATGGTATTTTTTTAAAATTAAAGTTCTGCTCACCATTGCAACTTCGTTATTATTGGAGCTATAAAGTCGGTTACAATTGCTACCATCCTAACTCTAACGTGGAGCTACAAAGTCGGTTAAATTAGCAAATTGATGGCAATGCCGCATTATTAAAATGGTGGAAACAGAAAAACAATTGAAAGTCGGGTTTCCGAAATATTCACAAAAATAATATTTTTTAAAACACCCTGTATATTTTTACATATTTTGAAAGACAACTTAATTTGGGACAAAAAATTATTTTTGCTACCCTAAACTTAAAAATAAACAAGTAATAAGCACTTGAACTTTCTAATGGTTGTTAAAAAAAATGATAATTTTTGAAAACTTCGTTTTAAAATAAAAAAATTAGTAAGTCTGGGGTTTTTAAATTGTAGGATAAGGTTAATAAATTTGAAAAAATTCACAGTAAAGTTTAGTGGGGTAGTGTTATAATAACATATAAAAATTTTAGCCAAAGCAAATGGGGTCGGGTTCAAAAGTGGTCGAGTTGGCGTGGAATGTCCCATATATGTACATAATTATATGTATTTGGTAAATACATGTTTATTGTAAATTTTATCCATTGAATATTTTATGTATAAGTACCTACTTTAAAGTATGCATAAAATATTTTAAGCATATATTACAATTTATTTAATAATCGTTAAACAATAACACAGTTAATATACAATCTATAGACCTTATAGGCTGCCTAGCAAGAAGGTTATACTCTAATAAGTGTCCCCAAATCGGGTTGATAATAGGAAAAAACTTTTTTATTTCGCATTTTAGGAAAAAAAACTTCTGATTGTTTAAAAAATGAGATTCTTATAAAAAAATTAAATAAAATGTACAAGGGGAGTGAACTAAATACGAATAAGGCCCAGTTGTATAACAGTTGGTTAACAGCTGATTAGCTGATTAACTCTTGAATTTAATTTAATTTAATGTTTAGCGGTGCTCCGTTACTGACAAAGTGTACTACACTTAGTTATTATCTATGTGTGGTACACTTTGTCTGTCACGGAGCACCGCTAAACATTAAATTAAATTAAATTTAAGAGTTAATCAGCTAATCAGCTGTTAACCAACTGTTATACAACTGGGCCTAAGTGTGTTAAATATTAGGCCAGTGGGTGTAAGATTTTATATAGGGAAGCCAATACTTTTATACAGGTTGAAATTTAATTTTTTAATCAAAAGAGCATAAATTGAATAGTATGTTTTCTGGTTTTCGGATTAATTCGGAGCACTCCCGCGACGCTATGCCCAAAGATTATCTTTGGGCAGTGGCGGCTCGTGGGTGTACACTGTACAGGAGGGTGAGGCTACATACTCTCTAAAAATGAATTAGTCAAAAATAACTAATTTAATAGTTAATAGTGGCTGCTTTTTCACTTGTGCCATGGTTAACCATCGAATACCATGGTATCCCAAAATTTAATAGCCAATTCTTATGTAAAATTTGTCTTCAAAAGTTAAAAAAGCAGAACAGTTTTTGAGATATAGTAAATTTTCCATTTAATATGGAATTGACTATATCTCAAAAACTGCTCCACTTTCATAACTTTTGACGGTATTTTCAGATTCGGAGTACAATTTTACATAATAATTGGCTATTAAATTTTGGGATACCATGGTATTCGATGGTTAACCATGGCACAAGTGAAAAAGCAGCCACTATTAACTATTAAATTAGTTATTTTTGACTAATTCATTTTTAGAGAGTAAGGTTAATTTTGTCTAAATCCGAATAAATTTCCACGTCACCCGGGAGGTATTATTCTGCGACGCGTTGACCTTTTTTAAAATGGAGGTCATCGCCGATAGCCCTACTAAACCATTATAAATAAAAAATAAACTCTAAAAAACAAAACAAACAAAATATCACATCAAAGACCAGTTTTAATCTTAAAACTTAAAAATATATTCTTAAAAAAGTTAAAAATAAATAAATTAATCAAAAAATAAAAATAAAACTAAAGTATTAAAAAATATATAGCTACTTTTTGTAAATTAAATCTATACGTCTATCTTAAGTTTGCAAATTTATCTATTATTTGGTCGTAAAATTGTGGGTCTGCATTGAGATTTGAAAGTAATTCTTGTTCTATTGACATCGTTGCTAAGCTTGAAAGCCGTTCTTGTGTCATTGTGTTCCTAAGGTAGTTTTAATTCGTTTAAGACATGAAAAGTTTCGTTCGGCAGATACACTTGTTGCAGGGATAGTTAAAACTAAATTAAAAAGCTTATATGCTTCCACAAAAATTGTCTTGAAATTTTTAAACAACATATCTAAACTTTTTTCAACACTTAAATTTAAAAATTGTTCATCTCTATATAATTCAGAAAGCTCATTTTTTAGCCTATCTTTGTCAAAAATATTTGGATAACTTTTTAATAAACTCTTAAGTAAGTTGTCTGGAAAGCATTTTGCATATTTTGTTTCTTTAAAAAAAAGGCGTTTCAATTATTGAGAGAATAACGTCATGAACAGGATTCATTTAAAAAAAAAATTGGAAAATTTAACTAAGTAAAGAAAACTTACCGTAATTTTAAAAACCAAACTCAATACAACTTGTTGCTTAATATAAACTGCTAAATCTACCTTAGTGTGTTCCCCACAATAATTAAATTAGAAATTTTACTAATCGAGACAAAAACTATAAAAGATCAGTCAAAAGTTTTAAATAATTTAATCTGAATCAAAACAAAACGAAACAAAACGTGCTCTACGAACGCTTACAGAACACTGGCCTACCCACCATAGACGGACACGCATGTGATAAAACCAGAAATCAGTCAAGCCAAGCTAACTTTATGTCGCCTCATCTACGGCAGAATTTACGGTGTTTATTCGCGAACTTTAGTTGGTGAGTCATTTTCGCTTTCTAGAGGTAAATGGGAGCTTCCGAGGCTGTGAAAATTTCGCCTCTGTCTGGCTTCTCTCAACTTGACGCGCTTTGCGCCTGGATTTTTATTTACGCTTAGTATTATTGATTGGTTTTTTACTTTTTATTGGGTAGAACTGTTGTAAAAATACACTTGTAATAGGCAAAAAGCTAAATACAAAAAGTCGTTCGTTTCTTCATTTTAAGGGTGAGGCGCGGCCTCAGAGGCCTACCCTGACGAGCCGCCACTGTCTTTGGGGCGTCAACTTAAAAAACACCTAACGTTTTTCTTTAATATCTTACAAACCGTTTGTCGCACTGAGGCGAACAAACTTAAAATGCTGGTAAATTAGATCTACATTTTGCTCTCCAATATATTTTAAAAACGCCTACCATTTTTTTGGAATATGGTTTTCTATTTTTAATCCCTTTTGCTTTATTTTTTTAATAAAAATTATCTTCTAAAATTTTGTTGCCTTTGAAATTTCCTATAAAATGACCATTTACCTAAAGTAAATGGGGCCAGTGTAGGCTGGACAATCTACAACTAGAGATGTAAAAAAACGGTTTTTTTTTCAGATGTGAAAAAAAACGGTTATTTTTGTTTTTTTTCAAAATAAAATTTTTAGTAAAATGTATATTAATAATAAAGTGAAATATAGAATATATTACATTTTTCATTATTGAAAATTTTGACCGAGACTAAAAAATCTGATTTCTTATTATTTGGTAGTTTCCACATTAGAAACCAATAGCAATGTAAAACTTCTATACTAATACAAAAAATTAAAGGATAAAAATTTTTTTTTTGCGATTCTTCGGATAGCTGTATCTTTGTTAAAAATGGTCGTATTGGAGCCGTAAAAAAGCAATTTGAAGCTTGAAGTTTCTAGTTTTGAGATTTTTAGATAAAAAATGTGCAACGCTCAATCCTAACTAATACAGTAATAAAAAAACGATTTTTTTTGGCTTTCTGGTCCACGGAATGTTCTGACTTAACCACAAATGTTCTACAAGAATTTGCTATTGCTTTTTTGAAAAAAAAATTCCATACTCTACATGAATTTGAAAAATAATGAAAAAAGTGCTTTTGGTAGCTTTTTGAAAAATCAATCGCTGAATCAAAAATATTATATGTAGTTACTTTTTTTAGGACCAAATCAAAACAAGGGCGGTCCTTATTGGTCAATTCGGTGGTGGTGGCGCGTGCATAGCGCGAGGCTGTATTTACATTTACTAATTGTTATTTAGTGACTAATTTTAGTCCATGAACTGGACTGGAAACTTAAAAATTAGGCAATTGGGACTAATCTTGAAAAAAAACCTAAAATGTGAAAAAAAACCATTTGAAAAAAAACAACGAAAAAAAACCTGAAAAGAAACAAAAAAAAAACGAACCGTTTTTTTCAAGTCGCATCTCTACCTACAACATTTAAAATTTTCGATATTTCAAGTTACACTCAATATTCCAAACTTTTGAACCACCCTGTATAAACTATTCATTGTATGCTCTTTTGATTAAAAAAATAAAATTTCTACTGGCCTATATTCGGATATACTTAAAATAAAAACAAATTATTTGTTCCTAATTAGGCAATAGACGAAGTGAACCGCGGCTTTATCCACGCCGGCGAGCGCCTCTACCAGCTAAAAGCGTTGCAGGACAACACCAGGGCCGTGGAGTACCTGAAGCTGGCGCGCGAGCTGCCCGGCTACGGCGAGGTCGTATTCCCGCACTGCGCGTGCGACTCGCGCAAGGAGGGCCACGTGATCGTGTCGATCGGCACGGAGGGCGTGAAGCTGCACGCGTGCCACGAGGACGGCACCATGGAGAGCCAGGTGGTGTGTTTGCAGTGGGACTGCGTGCGGCAGTGGGAGATCGACGAGGAAGGCATGGCGTTCTGTTTGAAGTACAACAGGCCAGACAAAACGCCCAGGTGGTTGAAGATATTCACGCCTTATGTGAGTATACTTTTGTACTAGTTACAGGGCTCCCACACCTCCTAAAATTCCTAAAATTTTGCTTGAATCTTTAAAACATTGCATTCAATCTCCTAAAACTCCTAAAATCCTAAAAATTAAATTTAAATAGGCCAACCTGACTGCGTTTAATTAAGGTAGTGCTAAAAAAAATCTTTTTTAAAAAGTAATTTAAAAATATATATTTATAGGTTCTATTTTATTAAATTCTTTCTAAAATAATATAATATCACAACCAAAATTTTTCTTAAAAAACAACAAAAAAACTTCTACAAAATTGTCATTTTTAACGATATTTCTTTTTTTTAGTCAAAAATATACCGTGTATATGTTACGGCTAATGTGCAAACTTGGATAGTTTATAAACTAGCTGGATAGTTTATAAACTAGCCAAATTGTCAGCTATTTTAATTGAAAACATATTTTCAACTAAATTAGCGGCTAGTTTACAAAATAACCAAGGATCTTGGCTAATTTACTAGAAATTATTAGGGAAACTAAAATAGCTGGATAGTTTGTATACTATCCAATTCAGTTTGGCTAAAATGAAAATCAAAATTTCTAGTAACACAAAATAGCCAAGCTTTAGCTAGTTTGTAAACTAACCAACCAATTTTCTGGCTAATTTCGTATAATGTTACAATTTTGACTTTTGCGGGATTTTATGAAAATTAATTTTTTTTTACAATTTTTTTGTATATTTTCCCAATTTTTGTTGGGTTTCCTCATATTTTAGTTGGGTTTTCCTCTCATTTTTTCCTCAATGGGGCGGGGGGCCCAATGGGGCGGGGTCGGTTGGGTTGGTTTGCTGAGTTTGGGTTGGTTTGGGTTTTATTCTCTCATTTTTGACCATTTGACCAATGGGGCGGGGGGGCAATGTGGCGGGGTCGGTAGGGTTGTGTTGTTGAGTTTTCTAACAAGGAAGCGTTAAAATTTTGCCTATGATTCATTTTAAAAACGTTAAAATGCACAAAACAAATCCGGTTAAGCCGGCAAAACGAAAAACAATGCCGTAACCTCACTTTTTTAATAAATTAGCCAGAGAATTAGTTGGTTAGTTTACAAACTAGCTAAAGCTTGGCTATTTTGTGTTACTAGAAATTTTGGTTTTCATATTAGCCAAATTGAATTGGATAGTATACAAACTATCCAGCTATTTTAGTTTCCCTAATAATTTCAAGTAAATTAGCCAAGATCCTTGGATATTTTGTAAACTAGCCGCTAATTTAGTTGAAAATACATTTTCAATTAAAATAGCTGACAGTTTGGCTAGTTTACAACTATCCAGCTAGTTTATAAACTATCCAAGTTTGCACATTAGCCGTAACATATATATCAAACAAAAGGATTTTTAATTTTCTTTTAAATGACAGCTAAAATAGTAAACAATCTAAAGAATGTTTTGCTGTATTTTGCAAACTTCATATTTTGTTATGAGATTTTTAAGTATTACAATTGAATCAGTGAGAATAAGAACAGCGCAAGTCCAAAAATTTAAGTTTGACAATTTATTCTAAAATCAATTATAAAGTTTAAAATACATTTTTGTGAGAAGATATAAATTATTTTACAGAATATGAATATTATATTTCATAAAATAGTTAAAATATTCTAACAAAAATGCATTTAGAACTATAAAACTGATTTTTTGAAATATTTTATCAAAAATTTTACTTTTGGACTCGTACTATTCATAATCTTATCGATTCAATTACTGTTAGCTATTAACTAAACGGTTAACATATTTGTTCTTAAAATATAAATATAACATCAAATGATTTTGGCTTAGTTTTTTAGCCAAATCTATCGACGCATTTTTTTTAAATAAAATTAAAAGTGTGGTGAAATTTATACTTGTACCTCAGATATATACAAGTTTTAATTTTACCTCACTTTTAATTTTATTTAAAAAAAACTCGTCGAGCGATTTTTCTAAAAATCTAGTCAATATAACTTATTTTTACAAAAGAAGTATTAATTTTTTTCTTACTTTTTAAGTAGTAAAGAGTTGTTTTTATTTAATTAAAGAAATTCATTTCCATACTTTATTTATCCTAAAATTTTACAAAAAACCTCCTAAATTCCTAATAATAAAATAAAATTTGTAATTTAGCCGTTGGAGCCCTGTAGTTATTAATTAAAAATGGTTACAAGATGTTACTTAAGAAAACATGATTATTTTTTTAATTTATGTTTTTTTATCTTAGTACCATATGCCTGTTTTTTACTTAATTTTATGAATAAAAGTTATTCTTTATAAAAAGTTCTGCTAATCTAAAATAAAATCATCAAATTTTTTCAGTCATATACGAGGTCTAATTATGAAAAGTTGAATGAAAAACTATGTTTTAATATGCAATTACATCCTTCTACTTAAAAATTTTTTTGTACACATTTTTCTCAAATACCGAACATTTATCTTTTTTATTTATTACAAACATGATAACCTTTCCGTTCCGTTCAAAAAGTAATAATCAAATTCTGATGTTTTGACAATGTCAAAAATTTTTTGCAATCAACAAATCATTTGTTTGTCAGTGCATCCTAGATTACATGTAACTACAGTTAAATTTGCATTGTTATAGTAAACATAAAAGAAAAAATGATTTTTTCCATGAAAATTGAAGTAATTGCATGAACGTGGTTTTTAGTTCTGATCAACTTTTTTTAATAAGAATTTTCGATATTGTCATATATAAGGTACTTTACTCTTGAGTAAGATTTTTTGACAAACTGCATATGGGGCAAAATTTGCCAAGTGTACCAGGTGAAAAAAATTGTGTCACCGATTTTGTTTAAACTTTACTTATTTGTTGTTCTTATAACGAAGAATCATAGCATAAAATTTTTTTGCTCTAGGATTGTTTATTCAAGAGTTATGGATTATTGAAATTTATCGATTTATTACTTTTTGGTGAAATCGCTTTTTATTTAAAAATCCATAACTTCTGTTCATCTCTTTATTAAATATTTTAATTTAATCACCTTAAATGATTTTTTCCGTACTTTTCAATGGTCTATACCGTTTTTGCAACAAAAAAAAATTGCAATTTTTTTTTGAAATTTTGCAATATATTCAAATATGAAAAAGTTCCCTTCTACATGTCGGGCCCAATCTAAATTTTTTTTTTATTCAAAGGGAACATAATAAACTTCGATTTTATGCTATTTTAAAAAAAATTTAAAAATACACATTGGTTAAAAAAATGCAATATATTGCATTTTGTGTATTTTTTAATTTTTTTTAAAATAGCATAAAATCGAAGTTTATTATGTTCCCTTTGAATAAAAAAAAAATTTAGATTGGGCCCGACATGTAGAAGGGAACTTTTTCATATTTGAATGCGTGCGGGTCTAGCCATCGAATAGCTACTACACTGCCGTATGCGTTTATACCTACTCTCTAAAAGTGAAACAGTGAAATTTTCACTATTTCCGTCAGTGAATTATTATTCACTGTAAAATTAGTGTTTTTCAATATAAATTAGTGAAATTTTAACTTCTCCAAATTAGTGTTTTTTATTATCACTACTTTTTCGGAACTCTCGACATAAAATAGTGAAATTTTAACTTTTTTGAACTAAACCTATTTCACTAATTTGTACAGTGTAATTTCCACTAAATAAATTAGTGCAAAGAAATCGCTACATGAAAAAGTGAGTATTCACTAATTGCTAGTGGTATACTTATCACTGCGGCAAATAGTTAATATGCACTGTCAATCAGTGAAAATCCACTGTTTCATTTTTAGAGAGTAGTAGATGCGAGTAAACGAATACAAAATGATAATTTAAAATGTAAAATTAGTATGGTAGGGCACCAACACTTTATTCTTTCTGTATTTTACTTTAGCCACAAAAATAAAAATTAACATTATTCTAGTAATATCCGCCAAAAATCCTCCGAATTACGAAATCTACAAATCATATTTTAATCTGTAATTAATTAAATTAAAAAAATCATATTTTAATCTGCCGATTTGCAATACAAATATTCTGACTGACCGTTACGGTTTAAAAAGTAAGTAATGTCCGTACGGCGAATGTTTAGAGCTCGTCATGACAGCAAAAACAGTTTATAGACATTATATATTATTAACGCCATTGACCTATTCAGCTTATAGGCAAGCCGTTACGGTTATAACAATAATTTTTTATTTAATATCATCGATCCTCCTTGCGAAATCTATGTAGACCCATGCTTAAACAATTTGTGCAAAAAAATACAGTTAAAAAACTATATAGCGGCAGTGTAAATATTTAAAATATATCATTGACTACTCAAACATAATTTTACATTTTAAATTATCATTTTGTATTCGTTTACTCGCATCTACTAGGTATAAACGCATACGGCAGTGTAGTAGCTATTCGATGGCTAGACCCGCACGCATTCAAATATGAAAAACTTCCCTTCTACATGTCGGGCCCACTCTATTTTTTTTTTTATTCAAAGGTAACATAATAAACTTCGATTTTATGCTATTTAAAAAAAAATTAAAAAATACACATTGTTTAAAAAAATGCAAAATATTGCAAAATTTCAAAAAAAAATTGCAAATTTTTTTTTGTTGCAAAAACCTTATAGCCCATTGAAAAGTACGAAAAAAATCATTTAAGTTGGTTAAATTAAAATATTTAATAAAGAGATGAACAGAAGTTATGAATTTTTAAATAAAAAGCGATTTCACCAAAAAGTAATAAATCGATAAATTTCAATAATCCATAACTCTTGAATGAACAATCCTAGAGCAAAAAAATTTTATGCTATGATTCTTCGTTATAAGAACAACAAATAAGTAAAGTTTAAACAAAATCGGTGACAAATTTTTTTTGACCTGGTACACTTGGCAAATTTTGCCCCATATACGACTGAAATTTTTTTATATCTGATGATTGTATTTAGATTTTAGAACATGCAGAACTTTTTATGAAGAATATTTTTTTTTCTTCTAATTAATAATAAAAAAGATTCCCATATGTTGCCAACTTAAGTAGACACACTTTATAATTTTTCCCATCAAAGTATTTCAGTCAAAAATTTATTTTATAAAAAATTGACAATTAATTTTGTATTATTTGTTGCTACATTTAATAAATTATGCAATGTGAAAAAACAATATTCAATATATTTTTTTAGGTTGAAAATAATAAGAAATCAATTTTTTTACACTGTAGTATCAGGCAAAATGCATTATACATGGATATACAGGGTGTTAAAAAAAGGTAAAATATTTCTAGGGCGTATAGTAGATCCAAGAAGAAGATGAAAAGTTCTTAAGCGTTTTTCGATTTGATTAGTTATTAATTAAATAAAGTTGCTAATCACACGCTTGCTAAAAAGAATGTCATAAAAGCAAAAAACAAAAACACAGACAGTGACAACTATAGAATTAAGGTCACTTCACACTACTATCGAATTTTTCCAAAAATGTTTTTTTTATAATTATATTTATTTTCAATTTTAATATTCAAAAAACCACAAATTGATTATTACAAACGTTTTTTTAATTTAAATTAGGTGCTAAAAATATGTTCAACACCTAATTTGATCATAGCTCCCCCACATTGTTTTTATTGTTGCGGCATTTTTGTTAATTAATAAAAACAATGCATTTTTATTACTGAAATTAGAAATTAAATAAAAATTATAAAAATATTTTTGTAGAAATCTGATAGCTATGAACTATCAGTGTGAATTGACCTTAATTGTATAGTTGTCACTGTCATTGTCAGTGTCATGGAGCCTACATGTAGGCTCCATGGTCAGTGTTTTGGTTTTAGGTTAGTTTTCCGACGTTATTTTTAGTATGCTCATTCTCCTAAAGCACACCTGTGATTGGCTTTTTTATCTAATTAATAACTAATTAAGGGCAACCAGAGCTGGGAGTATCTTGAAAAAAAGATACTTAAAAGTAATTTAGATACTTAAAGTATCTAAGATACTTTATCTTAGATACTTTTTATATTGGACAGAAAGTATCTTTAACTAAGTTACTTCGGAAAAGTGTCTTGTAACTTGTATCTAAAAAAGTATTTAAGTTACTCAGTGAAGTAACTAAGATACATTCAAGTAACTAAGATACTTTTTAAAGTAACTAAGATACTTTTTAAAGTAACTTTTTGGGTTCTACTATACGTCCTAAGAATATTTTACCCTTTTTTTTAACACCCTGTATATTTGTACCCCAAAGCCAAACTACCAAGTCCAATTTTTTAAAATTACGTAACATATTTTTTTAACACAGGATTAAGTCCTGGCTTACTTGGTTTTTGGTACATCAAAAAACTAAGTTTACCATTGGAAATTGTTAAATTGTTAAGATGTGTAACGTAACTTTAAAAAATTGAACTTAATACATATATAGAGTCCCAGGCCAATTTATTAAACTTGCTCACAATTTTGGGAATTTGTAAAATATATTCTTACAAAAATGCATTTTTGAACTACCTACTTATTGTGTTGTAAAATTAATATTTATCAAAAAATCAACCTTTTTGTCTTTTTTGCAATAAAACTTATACTGTATGCCCTGAACTTTTGAAATTTAATGTTGATATTTATTAATATCATATAAGATATAAAAGAAAAGGTATTTAAATTTGGTATGCAATCATTGACCAATTTTTGTTTAAAGAAAATTACCCAAAGTTTGGCCAGTAACCCAATAACCATACAATATTGTGTCATAATGAGGCTTAAAAATGGGCTTAATCACTTAAGTGATTTTCTAAGTCAATGGTTTGCTGGGCCCATTAATGAGCCACAATGGAACACAATTATTGTGTTTGAAACTTTCCGTAAATTAATAACCTGTCCAATAGTTCTTTTTTTATAATTATGAGCCATTAGCAATAATTGAGGCAAATACAATTTTTACATAAACATAATGGCCCTACCTTAAGTAAAAAATAAGACTACAGTAACTGTCAACAATGACATTTAAATAGCATTTTTAGATTTGTCATTTTTGTTTTTATGGATATGTGCATGTTTATTGAGAAATTTTGGCAACAATAGCCAGGACCCACCTCAAAATTTATTTAAATTTTGAAATGCAGTTTCTCTATTAATTATTTTTAAATTTTGATAAAAATATTACTTGAAATATTTGCTTGTATATTTTATTTCTATACCCTGTTAAAAAAAAGCGTCTACTTAAAAGTCACCCTGTATAATTAATTATAATTTAATAATATAATTAATTTTCATATTGTTATTTTTTATAATTATCTTCATATAAACTGATGTACAAAACTAAAGCACCAATTTTCATAGATATATAAAATTTGAATAAAATAGTCTGGAAAGTTTTCCCTTGGATATTTTGTAGCCTAAAGTTGGCTTAACAAGTTCACCAAAGGGCGTCAACATGAGTGCAGTAGTTTCAGAAATTCAAAAATATTTTTATAATACACACAGGTTACTTTTATGCTTCAAAAACCGTATTGGAAATGTCTGCCAATGTCTATGTTGACAAGGTTACTTTATGGTAGTTTACAACCACAAGTTTTCCCCTAGGTCCCCGGAATACACTTATGCTTCTGGAGTACCTGCAGCATTCCTCTAATTGTTTTTTTTTTAATTTAATTTCTATGTATTTTTTAAATAAAGTAAGTAATTTGTCTATGTTATATTTCAGTACTTCTTTTTAATGGACTGCTTTGAAAAAATCGTAGAAGAAAGTAAATGGCTGGACACAGGGGAATGACTAAAAGAAAGAATAAAAGAGTTGGGATATTGAAATGCATATTAAATATGTACTATACTATAGCAACCTCCATTTATTGTGATTTTTTGGTGATTATTCGAATATTTTTTCTTAAATGCTTCAAAAGTGTTTGGTTAAGGAACCGTGTTTTTATTGCATTTTGCTGGCACAAAAACAAAACATATTATAGACTCTATAATATACAGTGTGATTCTCACTTCTGGAAAAAAATTCGTTGTTTGATGAGATTTTTTTTATTATAAATGCTCAACACGTAAATTTTAGTTTTTTATTTAAAATCTTATAATTATAATTTTAAATTGTTTGCTACCACCATTTTCCCCCTACCACATTATGCACATTTATATTAAATCACAACCCTCGAAAATTAAAAGTAGGGCGAGAATAATGGGGGCAAACAATTTAAAATTATAAATATATGATTTTGAATAAAAAACTACTTAACGTGTCCAAACATTTTTCATAAAAATCTTTTCTCATCAAATAACAAATTTTATTCCATAATAATGTCTTTATCATGGAGCTGTAGGCTCCATGGTCTATAATATAGAGATAATGTCTTTGTGATAGATTGCAATTATTGATAGTTATAGTTAAAATTATGTACATAGTCTATATACGGTTAGTTGATCACAATTGCACTAAATTAAGACTTTTTATAAGTATTATTAGTTTTTCTGTTATACTATTTTAAATTGTTTTTTATTGCATGTAGTCCAGTTTTTAATGAATAGCTCCTGATTTTTTTCCGTAAATTTCCAATTACCATAGCTTTTATATTGTTGTTTACTTTGTATATTTACACTGCCATTGGACTACTTATCGGTACTTTTAAATTTTTTCTACTAATAAGAATTATGTTTACTAAACTTTAATTAATGCCTTTATACTCTAATATTCCATTAAGCAATTCATTATAGTAAAACATATTTAATAGATGATATTTAATGTAAATAATATGTAAATCAAATTATTAAATTAGCTCAAATTGTTTATTTAACTATAGTGTTAAAATTTTTGTTTAAAACCTACAAATATAATTATTTGTAAAGAAATAAAACATAGTGTTCCTCTTATAAGTATTTAAATATATATTTATGTTATTTAAAAATGTAATTCAAATTTATTGTTGATTAGCAATTAAACATTTGGCTGTTATTCACTAAAATGTAAAAGTTTAAAATGACATTTTGTTTTATTTACCATACAAAATAAAATACAAGGACTATTAGTTGAAAGTTGTTTGCACCTACAATCACATATAGAAAAATGAACATTATTATCGTGAGTATTTACGTATATCTTAATAGATAAAACTTGTATTTCAGTACTATAATGTAAAAGTAAGTTAAAGTGACTAAAGTGAAACTTTTAACTATTATTCCCTGTCTAACAAAAGTACTATTAATTAAATTAAATTAAAACTGGTGTGGTTCCTATAAGTAATATGGTCCAATATAGTCCACAGAATATAAAAAATAAAGCTGGAAATATAATTCTGGAATATCTATCAATTTCTCTCCACAAAACCTTTTCTTTGCCTTTTTTCTAAAATAAAAAAAATGGAGTTATTGATTTGCATAATTAATTGGTTTTAGGGCCATTTCAGGCATGCGGATGCGACAGTTCACAAAACTGTTTATTTATAAAAAAAATTGAAGGTGATTAATTATATAATATAATATTTTGGCATCAAAATTGTCAAAAATATTCTTCTTTTATTATTATTTTGTCCCGTCTACACCTTTCAATTTTTTAAATTATCTCTACTTTTATAAAATATTTTTTTGACAAATTTGATGGCAAAATATTATAAATTATATTCATACGAACATCATGTCGTGATTTACACAAATTTTATTCATACTGATATCATACGGAAGTCACCGCGTTAAAAATGAAAATCATACGAACGTCACGTCGTGATTTTCAGAAATTTTATTCATACGGACATCATCCGGATGTCACTGCGTGAGAAATGAAAATCATGTCGTGATTTTTTATGCCATCGCTGTTTGCGATTGACCGATGGCCTAAATAATCATGTCGTGATTTTTTATGCCAACGGTGTTTGGATAATCATTTTTGCGCCACGTTCGTACACTAAAAGAAAAATTATGTTGAAACAGTTTTTGCGGTTAAATACATTTAATATTTTCTTGGATTTAAATTAACTATTAATTTAAATCCAAAAAAATATTGAATGTATTTAACCACAAAAACTGTTGATTCAATATATATGTAGGTATAATTTTTCTCTCAATGTACGAATGTGCCGCAAAAATAAATATCCAAACACCGATGGCATAAAAAATCACGACATGATTTTTTATGCCATTGGTGTTTGGATATTCATTTTTGCGACACATTCGTACATTGAAAGAAAAAGTATGTTAACAATTAAATCAACAATTTAAAATTCAATATTTTCTTGGATTTAAATTAACTATAGTTAATTTAAATCCAAGAAAATATTAAATGTATTTAACCGCAAAAACTGTTGATTCAACATAATTTTTCTCTTAGTGTACGAACGTGGCGCAAAAATGATTATCCAAACATCGGTCAATTGCAAACAGCGATGGCATAAAAAATCACGACATGATTTTCATTTCTCACGCAGTGACATGCGGATGATGACCGTATGAACAAAATTTGTGAAAATCACGACGTGACGTTCGTATGATTTTCATTTATTACGCGGTGACTTCCGTATGATATCAGTATGAATAAAATTTGTGAAAATCACGACGTGATGTTCGTATGAATATCACGAATGTAGTCCGGGACATTGGAATATCTTTTTTAATTGAACCCGGACAACATTCGTGATATTCAAACAACGTTTTATAAATTATAAGGGTGTAATGTGTATAACAAACTAGGTTTTAAATTCGCAGTTCGCAGGGCTCATACGCATGCGCAAATTTTGCAAATATCACACCGTGAGTTCTAAATAATATCACTGTGATAAAGCATGTGTATGAACTCAGGATATCACAGCGTGATAAAAAAATCACATTGTGATATCATCATGACTTCACCAGGAAATCCCGATTGTTGTCCGGGTTATCTACAATTTATGTGCGTTTCGCGCCTTTTTCCAAAGTTTTAAAACGAAAAATGTAATTAAATCCAAAAAGTATATCTTGAATCAATAACATTTATAAATTATATACATGAAGTCTATTTAAATCCAAGCTGGACTAAACACAATCCTCCGAATCGACCAATAAGAACTCACAATCCGAGTCACACCATCAGAATCGACCAATAAGAACAAGTTATCATGCGTCTGGGCGTTTTTGTTTAGTCCAGCTTGGATTTGAATACACTTTAGTGATCAAATGGAAAGTTTCCACCCCGGTTTTCTCAGGTGTTACGTAAAAAAACGCTCGCACGCGTCGATTTTTGTTTTGGGGGGTGACCATTTTTTTAAAAATGTTCAACCCCTAAGCGTGGGTGATAGTTACCCCAAAATTTTTAATGGGAAGAGGGGTCGAGTGATGCCTTGCTTGAAATTCTGTTTGCCTTGATTATAACTTTTGTCACTGCTAGTATCCCCGTTGTTGACAGCTTGACTTTACTTTTGACGTGAGGTGACCACGTGACTGATCTGACGCTCGAAATTTTATGAAGGTGCAATTCAAGAACACTAGAATCGTTAAGTAAAGACCTTAATGAATGCTAGAATACAGCACAGATAAATACAGTGTTCTTAGTGTAATTGCTGATGCCAATTGACATCTCCAAAAGGTCTGATTATTTGGTTGTCAAATTTGGTGCGCAAGAGATCGATTGTCAGTCTGCTTTCATGCCATGTGGTGCCATCTTGTTGAAACCAAAGATTGTCCACATTCATAACGTCGATTTTTGTTTCATTGTTGTATTAATTAACCCAGTAAGCACAAGATAGCCGGCCAGAATACGTTTTGCCGCGTGCGGCCCGACACATGTATTTGTTCCGGCGTGTAGACCGGGAATGTCCGCCTGGCCGAATGTCGGCTATGTTTACTCGGCCGAGTGTCGGCTGTCTATAGTTGGCCGAGTGCCGGCCACAACCGCCTGGACATTTAAAAAAGTCTACAGACGTCATGCATAGGTATATATCCTATAGGTTTAACACACTCGACTAGCTAGCCATTATTCGTTACTGAGCAGATGAGTATGGAGATGGTTACTCCAAACAATTTATGTTTAGATATGCCATTACAGACGCCACTTCCAACTAAATATTGCAAACCATCGATATTTATAGTTAGCTCGCTTGCGTAAGCAGACGTAAGATGTATCGCTTATGCCGCTGCAGGCCGTATTTCGGCCGTAAGCGGGCCGACTAGGGCAAGCCGAATGATTTTGCAGTGGCATGCCGTATTCTGGGTGACTTCGGTTAGAACATGGCCAAACGGTACCGGCCTAACATAACGCGGGCCATAAGCGGGACGACTGGGGGCAAGCCGAACCGCCGGTCAACCGCCTATGCCGAGCTAAGGCCGACTGTTAGCCAAGTGTTTGGTGCTTACTGGGAGATTGTTTTACTCAATGTAGCAAATTATAAATTATATATATTATTATAAATTATATACATTATTATATATATATAGTATTTGCCAACTATAGTTTATAAACCCCCAAATTTTTGACGTCAAATTCCGAATAAAAAACTGTAATTTACAACTAATTATCATAATTTGTTATGCTTTAAACTTTAAAGTTTAAAGCAATATGAAATTTAAAGAAACATTTGGAATTATAAAAGGGTTAATAATAATAATTATAATAAAATATGTATGATTATACAAAACCTACAAATTAATATCAGTTCGGTCTTGACACTCGAAGTGGATAGACGCGTCAAGTAGTTAAAGATTCCTCTCCTAGCAGCGTATACTAGAGAAACGTAATAAAGTTCCAAAAACCCCCCTAAGTATTCGGAAATATCGGTAATCGGTAATAAATAAATAAACAATCAAGTGCGGAAAGTGTGATAAGTGCAAAAAAAAAGTGCAAGAAGTGTGAAAAGTGCGGGAGATCCCCTGTTAAAGCCGTAAAAGAGTGCAACTGAATAAGTAATTAAGGCCAACCGGTCCAACTGGTCAGCAGGAATAGTCACAACCAAAGCCTGTCAATAACCTGCAGGGAGGTCCAGAAACAACGGACAGACCGTGAAAGACCTAGCATCAGGATTATAGCCTAATAATCAAGCTAAGTAATTTTTCTAACTGCATGTCTTATTAACAAAACCATTTTATTCCAAAAAATCTAAAGTAAAACGTATTATATACCGAAAAGTAAATTTCAAGCCCCCCAGCTGGCACCAGAAAATAAACATTCCTATTGAGACAGACAACACACAAATCATTACATAAACAAAACAGAAAAGGCAGATAAGACATTAGCTCCATCCCCCAAATAAACACTCGACTAATACCATAAATAAACGCCAAACCATAAATAATAAATAAACACAAACCATAACAAACATGGAAATAGTAAACACGATTGATCATTCGGTGGGAATAATTAAAATTCCATCCGACGGAAATTGCTTAGTGGCCAGCTTGGCTCATCAACTAGATAATAGCCTGACTGGGTCAACAAGTACATACGCATTAAGACAAAGACTAAATAACCACTACGAACACACATTGAGACATACAGCCCATACTTACAGGATGCGATCCTTGACCAACCCCACCGCTACGCGCATATTAACGACTGGGAACTTTAAACAGAGGCGTACCTAAAGGACCACGCACAAAACGGCTTCTGGCTGGGTTTGGAAACAATAATAGCAGCATCGGACATATTTAACGTCGAAATACATCACATCCTCCTAGAAGGAAAAACAATCACCAAACGTGTCAGGGTGGCACAACTAAAATACTGGGCACATGCCGACCCGGAGACGGACACATAAACTGACGAACCGGAAGTAAACCAACAAAGATAGGAGTAAGCAAATAACTAACATACCCACCCCCCATTCACGAATACCAATTGAATGGGGTTACTACTAAGGCCTAGGTTCAGGAGGATTCCGGATTGTACTTAGTTTTGGGTCAGTTCAATGTCCTTCAAAAACCCTTCCTAAACTGGACGTATGGCCCGACTGTCATCCACGAACTCCTATAGGGTGGATCTACCAGCCGGCGTAAAAACTTCGGATCCAACAAACACAGGTAATGCTGTAATTTGGCGGGATACGCAGGAGAACGGAAAGGGGGTAAAATAACCCCAGGAGATCAGTGGATGATAATATATCTGGGACCTGCCATACGTTCCCATACTCATACTCATATTCATACTCATACCTTCCCATACTCATACTCATACTCATATACAAAACCTACAAATTAATATAAAACTAAGTAATTACTACTTTTACGTCCCTTGTAACATAATTTTAATTTCTTACCGTTTTCCAATAAAGTTTAAGAAAATTTTGCTTGGGAACACTAAAACTGTGCTTTGTGGTGTTTCCTGACCAAGGAGCTATAGCAGTTTCCTAAAAATTTGAAATCCATTAACCAAAATTCCATCTAATGTTACGATTTATTTTTACCATAGCGATAGTTTTATCTTTTGTTTTCCTTGTTTGATATTTTGCATTTAAAACTTTCACAATTACAAATTCTGCTAAGGCGGCAAAGACCGAAATCATGCATCCTGCCATCCACAAATCCAATGCCTTAAAAATAAAATTTAATTTTTAATCTAAACAATATTTGTAGTTCGAAATATATTTATAATTGTATTAGTTGTCGAAAATATAATTAGGTATTATATTTTCGTTTCAGGCCATTAACATTACAACAAAATAACCCTAGTTTGTGCAGTTTTTTAACTTCCAAAATAGGGTTTAAACGTTTTCTTAATTTTTTAGATAGATCTTAGATAGGTAACTATTAATAGTTACCTTGATGTATGCAACTGCAGGAATGTCTGATCTCAACCCAGTAAACATGGTAACCAATGTCAAAAGACACGTGACCAAAAGGGTCATTCTTCCAGGAATAGCGTCCAAACCTAGCCAAAAACTAAACCATGATAAAACAACTACTAAAGTTGATGGGGCGAATGTTTGAATCAAGTGGTGTCCAATTTGTCTTTCAAAACGAAAATTTACTACTAGCCTAGAGAAATTACCTAAAATATATTTTATTATAATTGTCTACTCGTACTAATTTTTAAAAACACAACTAGGTATAGATTTAATCTTACCATACCATTTTTTTCTCCTGTGTAAACATTTTTTTCCTGCAAATCTATCGGCAGTATGTTATACTGCAATAATTTTAATTCAGGACTAACTGTTACTCCTGTGGATGACCATTTTAAATTCATTTTTTCGTTATTGTATGAAACTAAAAATTATTGTAATTTAATAGGATATTAACTATACAATGTATGTATATTATACATATAAAAATTATCTAAGGTATTGCAATATTGTATCTATTACTAACATTTTAAATGAGAAATGTTTTTTTAATAAATGAGTTACAAAAATGGCGAAGGCTCCGGTATAATAATATAATGAATTATTTTTTTACTTACAACTTTCAATACTTATAGGACACAATTGTGTATCCATGGGATAATGTTGAAATTCCATTTGACAGGCCACAATAGCATGCATTCTAGCTGCATATTTAATTGTTTTATTTTTGTATAGAGTAACAGACGAAAATTTGTGTGTTAAAGTTGCGATTTCTAAGATAAAAAAAAATTAAAGTAATATTTTTAAATGATTATGTTTTAAATTACCCACTACTTTGGAGTTTAAAAAATACAAATCAGGTTGCCATAGATTATCAAAAAATTGCGATGGTAAAGTGATTGAATCATCTCCATATTCAAATAGTTCTTCTGGGATTTTAATACGGGCATCAACCCATTCTTGTTTAAGGAACATGTCCATACTAGAAGTAAACATACAATAAATAAAAAAAAGTGTTTTTATTTGAAATTTGAACCGAATTACGAAAGAAGAGATAATAGTATATTATGTATCCAGTTTGATAAACGCCATTTTAATCACTAATTTAATTTAGAAACTTAATGCTTAGATTAAAAACTAAAATTATAATGTTTTTTTTGGTAAAAAAAAGTATTATTTTTTGAAATTTTTGTGTTGTTTTTAATTACTAAATTAAAAAGGCAACAAAGTAAATGGGTTTCGGTATAAACATTACTCTGACTATTATTTGATATTTTTTCTTAAGTACGCAAAAATTCAATCTCCAATCTTATTTATTAAGTCTTATCAAAATTTAATAGCGAATTGAAGTATAAATTCGCCTTTACCTACTTTATCGTTCAAGCACATTAAAGTGCATCTATTAAATTTTGACATTTAAAATTTAAACTTTAAATTGTATTTTTACTTGAAAGTGATTTTAAGAACCAAAAATTAAAAAAGAGCAGGAAATGGAAGTGGTAATGGAACTTCCATTATGGAAGTTACAGAGAAAGAGAAAGGAGACGAACCTTTATGTCGTCGTTGTAAATTTATTTGTTTTTGTTGCGGTGCCTTTAAGCCCAAGAAAAACCAACGCAATATTTCATTACAAAATTTTATAAGATATACCTACTACTTTAATTTTGCAGGAATATTAAATGAACCTTATATACGACGTTTAATGAAAGATCAAGCATTCAAAAATGCTCTCAAAGTTGATGAGCTTGTCGCCATAAACCATCTATCAAGCATAATGCTTGTCCCATATGGCAGTGTTACAGCTGTCATTGAAAGTGTTCTTGGTTCATATCGGGCCTAAAATTGGCGCCAATTCATTGAAAAAATGCTCTCCGTTTTGTAAAGAATTAGCGTTAATATGTCATTTAAAATACATTTTCTTTTTTTTTTCATCCTGATAAATTTGCCGAACTGATGAACATGGAGAACGATTTCACCAGGTAACTGCAAATCTAGAGCATTTGGAGTGGAATTTGCAGCAAAAGATGTACGAGTCGTACAGTACGACGATGATGAGGATTAAGCAGAATAATACTATAATTTAATTCGATATTTGACATGATTTAATAAATTTAAGGTAGAAAAAAGCAAAATTATGGAATGCATTAAATTTTGTGGGCGTAATTTGGATAAAAAATAGCGAAACTTGTTTACTTTGTTGTCCTTTCAATTCAACAATTAAAATAAACGACAAAAATGTCAAATAATGGTTGATTTTTTTACATAAAGTACCTATAGGTATGTATACATTAAAATTTTAGTTTTTAAAATGTCATATTGTTAGGATAAAATTTATAAATATATATATTTAATATGATCTATTTGCCGTATACCTAGTACTTCAGTACATTCAAGATAAATTTAAGCCAAAATAATTTAATAAATAATTAAAATACTAACAAGAAAACTTACATTCTGAGGTGATTGAGCAGAGCATTTTATTACGAAATTATTTTAAATCCTAGACGTTCTAGAGAAAAACAAATTACATTTTTGAAATCAGCGGCCAAAAATTAGTTAAACTAAGCTGGAGTACTCAATGTTAGGTAAAAAAAAAGTTTCTAAAACTATCATAGTGAATAGAGTAGGTAACTCGCGTAACAATTTCTAACTTGGAAATCTGTATTATCGGCGCTCCAGTCAAAATGTCAAATTTGTATGTGTAAACCGAAATTTATCCCTTAAAAATGGACTAACAACTGTTTAAATGATGATATAGAAGCAGTTTTTCACAGTGAAAGTGTAGAGAATATTACACGGTGGAGTCTCCGACCGAAATTTTTAATGCTCTCAGTTATATCCAGTTTACTGCCGAAAAAATAAAAAAATCACTATAATCTTGCATATAAACTTTTCAAATAGGTATTGGCGTTGAGAAACTATTTTATACTTTTTGTATTAAGATAAAATAATTTAAGTACACGTTATTATTTTACAAGAAGGACACTTTATTTTAACGATTGTAGCCTACAATTTGTAGGACATTGGACAACTGTCAACTAACTTATACTAACTTCAGCCCGTGACTAAAACGCCATAAAGCCACAACTTGTCAATGTGTATTTAAAAGGTCACTTATGTTCTGTACTTAGTGTCATGGAAACATGTACGATAATAGGCGGTTTTTAAAGGTGGGAGCAGAAAACATATTTTTAAAACCGTTGTTAATCCTCTTAAAACTAGGTTTGCGATTGCCAACTAGTACATGGTTCATAACAGTTACTTTTTAGATTTCCATATTTTTAATTTATTTTAGTTATTGAACATTGATAAATAATTTATTCGAATGTACCTAATCAAACTTTTAGAATTTGTCGTCCAAATAAAATATTTTTTTTCTGTTCTATCCCAGGACACACTGTATATTTAAGATAAATGTTATTCGATTGGTCATATTTTACCTCAATTAAGTAGTATCTTAAAATATAATTCTTTTGTTATTGCGGGTAAGTTTTTCTTCTTTGAAAAACTTTATTTCTTTAAGAAAGTAATTTTTACCGAAAATCCATGTCTTCAACATTTATTGAGTTAATATCCATTACTCTCATACTAAAATCAACTTCTATGGGGCGTCCTCTTGAAGTCGGTGGTCGTAACTCTTAAAAAGAATAAAAATATTTATTATTATAATAACTGTTTTTTGGTTTATAAAATTATTAACAAAATGTACCTACCTTTGATGTAGTAATCAGGTATTATGTTTTTCGTTTTGTTAATCAACGCTCTTGGAATTAAAGCGTTTGTGCAATTTATCATAAGCCATATTCTAAAATGTGCAAGAAAGTTTATTATTAGGTATAGGTACAGTGTTTATCATAAATAAGTTCTTTCCATTAATTAAAATAAATACATTTATTTCTGATACACCCTGTATATATATTTTTATTTTCAATGGATAAGTATTTTTTTGGCCAAATTAATATAACATATTATGGATGTTTAAACCTTTACACTCAAAAAGGTCATGAATTGTATTATTTTCAGAAATTAAGACGAAATAATCGTTAATCTGACAGATATATAACCTAAATTATTTGTATTCAAATACCAACTTGTATCAGGGTGTGGAGCATAGCACATAATCAGCGACGGTTTTACTTTACCATTTTTTTATCGGCCTGATATTTTTGTATTCATTTTTATCACATTGAAAGGAGTTTTCTATTTACCTGTTTATGTTTTTTAAATAATATTTATATATTATATATATATATATATATATATATATACATATATAGTTATATATATTTATATATAAATATATAACTATAGTTGCTAATTTATTAAAAATAAATACGTCCTAAAATCAGGGGCGTAGCTACCGCCGTATCATCATATTTTATAAACGCCATTTTAGTTACGAGTTTTCTTAGACACGAGCGAAGCTTGCGAGCAAGTGTCTAGAGAAGTTTAGAACACGAGTTGTTTTTTTTTCGTGAATATTGATAAACATTATAAATTCCCTGCCTAACAACGTAAATAATAAACTCATCATTCACGTTGTTAGGCATTAGTGATTGGCCCATTTCAATATTCACTGTGATTTGAACCAATCGGGTTATAAATTGAAAGAAGGCGACTATAATAACATTTAAAATTGGTAAAAAGTAAGGTTAACCATTTGAAAGATGTCAGATTTCATTTATTTAATTTTTAATAGTAGGTATATTATGTATCAAGTTTGATAAACGCCATTTTATACATGAATTTAATATAGGCACGAGCGAGCTTGCGAGCGAGTGCTTAAATTAATGAGTGTATAGAAAAGTTTATAAATGAGGTGCATACTATACTTTTTCTACGACAAATACTTATTATTATCATAAAATAATTTAAATAAAAAAATTGTATAGAGCGCCATCTATGAAACAATAGGGGAAACTTTGTGTTACCGTCAAATGTCACATTTTTACATTTTATTAACACAATTATAAAGGTTATAAATCGAAATGTATTTCTTGAAAATTGACAGTTTTTCACAGTGAAAGTAAAGAAAATGATTTATGAGGACATTACAGTAGAGTCCGTGCCCGAATTTAAGTTATAGTTTACTGCCGGCGAAGTTAAAAGGTCAGTACAATGTTCATATAAACTTTTTAAATATTGGCGTTGAGAAACTATTTAATATTTTTGTATTGAGATAATAAAATAATTTTCACATTTAGTATTATTTTACAAGAAAGGCACTCTATTTTAACGATTGTATGACATTTGACAACTGTCAACTAACTTAAAAACTAACTTCAGCCCGTGACTAAAAACCAAAACTGGTCAATCTGTATTTAAAAGGTCACTAATTAGTGTCATGGAAACATGTACGATAAAGGGTGTTTTAATTTAACACACACACAAATAAACAGCCATACCCCTGGTGGGATTCGAACCCACGACCTTTCGGCTTGTAGTCCGCAGTGACTACTACACCACCGAGGGCGGTTCATATTAATGTATTTTTTCTACTCCCACCTTTAAATTAAAGGTGGGAGTAGAAAAAATACATTAATATGAACCGCCCTCGGTGGTGTAGTAGTCACTGCGGACTACAAGCCGAAAGGTCGTGGGTTCGAATCCCACCAGGGGTATGGCTGTTTATTTGTGTGTGTACTCCTGTAATTGGGCCTGGTGCCTGTTGGAAGCACATTAAAAATAATAAAATAAAAATTAAATAAATAAATTTATTTAAACTGGGCATTGTAACTATATTTTTCCAATAACTTTAAAAAGGTACTAAAATTTAGTAAAAATTTTGAAACGCTGTAATATAAATGATTTTGATTTTATATTTTGGGAACATAGAAGGTAGAAGATTTTCGTTAAATATAAAAGACTTTTATTAAATACAGGGTGTCCCAGAAGTCGAGCACCACCTTAAAGAGTGGGATGATGTCCCCCATGAATCCTAAATAATTGTTAAAAAATTTTACCCTTATTATTTAAAAAGATATAAGAAAGTAAACATTAATTTTTTAAACTTACAAAATCTTAAAATAAGAATAAGTATCAGGCCGATAAAAAATGGTAACATAAAAACTTCAACGATTTAACATGAAATTTCCCGAGGAATATTATATATTTTTTTATATTATATTATAATAATGTGTATAAAAATTGAATAATTTTCAATATTATATAACGAAATAAAACAATATACATTATATACCTATATATTCTTAATGAAATTTTTTAAAATTAATTTGATTATTTTTTATTTTAATTTTTTTATCACTAAAATTTATCGATTTTTAGGCTATTTTCTTAAATTTACCAAAATTATTTTTTAAGAAATTCTTATTTCAAAGCATTCTTGACATCTAAGTCAAATTCATTATTGTCCAAAATAAACTTTACAATAATTTACTTGTGGCCACGATTACTAAAAAAATATATTTTGTATAAGTACTCACAGTATAAACCAAATTTTTAAATTAGACCTTCCACTATCAATATCCATAATTACGAGAATATATTGATTTATTTTGCGCACTCAACAACATATTCAATTACCACATACACTATAATATTAAAACAATTTACACTTTTGTATTATTTTGGAAAAAAGACAAGATGTTTATAAAAATGACTAATATAAATATCAGTAGTTACCATTTAATGAAGATAAACGATATTCAGTGGCGTATCTTTATTTATTAAAAATTAATTTGACAGAATATATTTGAAACATCAACTTTTGAACAAAAATAATACTATATGTAGGTATCAATTTTTATACACGCTATTTTAGTAACGAATTTTAATTAGGCACGAGCGGGTTTGCAAGCGAGTGTTTAATAAAATGAGTGTCTAGAAAAGTTTATAAACGAGTTGCATACTATACTTTTTATGCGACAAATATTATTAGGTATAAAAACAATATATTTCTAATTAATTTAAATATTTGTATAAAGCGACATCTAAACAAGAATAGAGTAACTTGTGAATCTGTTTTGCCGGCTTTCAAAATGGCAGTTGTCAATTTTTTCTGTATAGATCGAAATGTATCTCTTGAAATGGACTTGAGGCGATCCGTTGGGTCATGGCCCCCTGGGCGTAGAGATGCAGCAGCGAAGCGAAAATATTTTCGTTAATAATACTGTTGTTAATACTTTTTTCTACTCCCACCTTTAAAACGCCCTTTATCTTACATGTTTTCATGTACTAACCTTTTAATTTCTCCGGCAGTAAATTATAACTTAAATTCGGGCACGGACTCCACTGTTAAGTCCCCATAAAACATTTTCTTTACTTTATTGTGAAAAACTGTCAATTTTCAAGAAATACATTTTGATTTATATAACCTTTATAATCTGTTTATAAAATATAAAAATGTGACATTTGACGGTGACACACAGATTCCCCTATTGTTTCATAGATGGCGCTCTATACAAATTTTTGATTTAAATCATTTTAAGATAATAATAAGTATTTGTCGTAGAAAAAGTATAGTATGCACCTTGTTTATAAACTTTTCTATACACTCATTAAATTAAGCACTCGCTCGCAAGCTCGCTCGTGCCTAAATTAAATTCGTGTATAAAATTGCGTTTATCAAACTTGATACATAATATACTATTATCTACTCTTTTCCATGCATGTCTCATAACGAACTGTGATATTGTAATTGTTAAATACATGTTTTGATTTGATTTGATTTGCTGCGGACTACAATTAAGTCGAGTGGCCGTGGGTTCGAATCCCACATGGGTGTTTATTTGTGTTTGTCCAGGGTTAAGTGATAGAACAGCTTCTGCTAAACTTCGCCCTTTGATCATTGATCAATAAATTTAAAAAAATGGTCAGTACAAACGAGCATATAAACCTTTTAAAGATGGGCGTGAAGAATCTGTTTAATAATTTTGTATTTTTGGATTGAGATAATAAAATAATTTTCACATTTACTATTATTTTAGAAGGGCACTTTATTTTGACGATTGTATGACATTTGATAACTGTCAACTAACTTAAATCTAACTTCAGCCCGTGACTAAAAACCTGTTGCTAACTTCATCCAGTGACTAAAACGCCATAAAGTCACAGCTAGCTTGTCAATGTGTATTTAAAAGATCACTTATTGTCATGGACATGAAACAGAAATTATTTAAAATTTACCTTTCTTAACATTGAAGTACCTACCTAATATTATACTTATGATTTAGCTGCCACTGTGCATGATGAGAAGATGATGAATTTTTTACGTAAACGTAAACGTAAACGGTCCTTCATTGGATAAATATTTCCTTTTCCTGTTTCTTAATTACTTTCAAATTAATTAATTTCGGTCAGACCTAGGACTCTTTAATTATCTCCAATCGACCGAACTTTTGGTAATTGAAAGCAGTTAAATTGTACTTATAACTAAGGCTCTAAAAAGTATGCACCATTAAAATATGCAGCATAATATAAACGATAAAATCCATCAACTATGCACAAATAAGTCCATATAGATACGCTGAAATATTTTTCTACTTTTCGTGTTTTTTTTGTATTTTTTTAAAAATACAAAAAATATACACGAAAAGTAGAAAAATGGTCCAATCATGCGCCAACTTTGCATTTATGGGTATTAATGATTTTATTTTTGTATCTTCTTAAAAACAGGGTATTGGTATGGGTATTTAAACAAAAAAGTTGGCAAAAAACGCATAATTATTGCATTGGTTTGCAATAATTCGCACTTCGCGAAAATGTGAGTAGAAGCGACAAAAACGCTGACAAAAACGCTTAATAACTAAGCTATGGTTAAACGGATTTTAAAAACAAAAAAAGTGTTAAATAGAGAATTAAAATACCTTTCAAATGAGGTATCACAAGCACCCCCTTTCCATTTAAAATTTTCAAGTTGATACTGCCCTCTTGGCACTTGTTAGGCAAAACAATTTCATTTTGACGTCAAAAAGTAGTAAACACAATTAGGGGTCGACAAGACAAGAATTCTTGTCTTGATAACAACTTCTTGTCTTGTCTTGAGAAAAAATCAAGAAATTTTAAAAAATCTTGTCTTGACGTTTTCTTGACATCTTATATCTTGTCTTGAGTCAAGAAATTTCAAGATCTTGAAATTTCTTGATTAACCGGTGATTCCCTGGCGATCTTTTTATTGCGTTGCATGGTAACCCGGCAATCTAGTGGTTCACCGATCTTTATTTGTTTTCTGACGAACGTAAACAGTGTTGCCACTTGTAATATAATTATCGAATTGTAACATAATTTTTTCTAAAAACAAAGCTTGAAAATTATATGTAACATATTCGATAATTGTAACATAATTTTTAATCCAAGTATCTGGACAAAATTAACTTAATTCTATCCAGATTAATTAATTTATTTAAGCATAATGCATGATTTATAGATTTCCTTCCTTCCTCCCGTAAAAGATCAACAATACCGTAGTGCTGTTTATAGATTCCCGTACGGTATTTATAGTTCTAAATGTAACGGTATACCTCTATAGAGGCAGCGGTAGAGGTAGCCAAGTTGGGCATTGAATATTATATGAAAAAAATTATAGTTGTCAGAGGTAAGGGAAGTAGAGGCAAGAACGTAGCAGCAAGAGATGACCATCTTTCATCTTTTCTTACCTCAATCGCTACTCCAGCCAATCAAACGGCAGTTTTTAGTTGGCAGCCTCGCCTTGCAAGTTTAGTGTTTATGCGAGGGGCCGCCATTACCGCTACTGCTACTTTCTGAACTATAAACCCAGCTTTATACAATTTTTAACAAATTTTATAATTTTCTAAAAATTCTATAATATTTTCAACCCTGTTTCTTTCACTTTTTTATGATTAAATTATAATAATTATTGTAACATAATTATTACAATTATTGTAACATAATTTTCCGAAAATTCGATAATTTTATTAACCCAATTCGATAATTTCAACTTTTAAATCTGGCTAAATCGGCTAGGCGTTGACTCCATAAGAAGTCTTATGTGCCTTAATTCATGGCTTATGAATTCCGATTTAAAAATGTTTTAAATTTAAAAACTAGTTTGCAATTTTAGTTTCAACAGGATTATCATTTATTATTTTTAATTTACATTTTTGTGAATTGTTCTAGCAATCAATGTGTTCAATAAATTAAAATATGTTATGTTATGATATATTTTTTACAAATAAATACGTTTTAGTGTTTTTATTATTAGTCAAGATATTTCAAGATTTCTTGTTTTTTTGACAAGAAATCTTGGTATTGACATACAATTTCTTGTCCTGTCTTGAAATTTAAATTTACTTCTTGTCTTGATCTTGTCTTGAAATCAAGACAAGATCAAGACAAGATCTTGAAATTTTCAAGAACATGGCGACCCCTAAACACAATATAGTTTACCCTGGTTTTTGTCCGACATCGATACCTTTTTTGGTTCAAAAGTTCACAGGGGGGGATTTTAACGCGCTCACTGTACTCTATATTATATTATATTATATTATATTATATTATATTATATTATATTATATTATATTATATTATATTATATTATATTATATTATATTATATTATATTATATTATATTATATTATATTATATTATATTATATTATATTATATTATATTATATTATATTATATTATATTATATTATTTAATGTGCAGCATATGGCTCACTATAGTTCCTGGCACTTCTCATTAATGTTGTCAAAGTAACCCGTGAGGTTTTATTAAAAATCGTATGATTTCAAATAAAACATTAACATTGCCATTAACAATAAGTCCTGAGTTTTTGGTTTATCAAAAACTAAGTACTTATAGCAGACTCACTATATGCCTTTGTTAACATTTCAAAGAATTTATTTCATTTTTTAAGCAAAATTGGATACAAATTCTTTGATCCATTTCTTTTAACGAACGAAAAATCGCCGAGCTCATAAAACACGTCTAACCTTAGCGGCTGCCACAAACAAAGTAAACAATGAAAACAGCTAAAGTTTTTATCATACTTCGGGGGCATGTATACCAACATAATAAATAAAATTGTATGACAACCGGACCCTCCGAAGCCGCGAAATTTAACAATTCCCGTTATTTTCTGAACACACCTCGTATAATAATTATTAAAATTAACCTTTTATATAAAGACTAAAACAATAATGATTTGCTGTACAATTTTATAAATTAAGCCATTTAAAAGTTAAGGGTTTATTTGTTTAAAAAAGTTGCATGTTTTTAAACTTGTGATAGATAGATAATATATCTAAATAAAAATTGTAGTCTTTTTTACTAAACATTTTTTAGGTTTAAATCTTGGACCGTAAACTAAAATTTTAATAAGTTTTAAACTTTTGAGCGACTTGTTGCAGATTAGTAATATTAGAAGTATTTTTTATTGCTATTAAAACTCAATAAATATTTAAAAATATATTTTTATTTGTTCTGAGTTTTACATTACTTTACGACAACTTTATTAAATAAGCCTTTTTAAATAGTTTCCGAGAGTACGTGGATTGTTACAATCAGGAGTCATCAATCCATTGCTTTGAAGACAACCTTCTCCGCAGGCTCTTCCTTGAAAATATGGTCCATACATTTGTTTACATTGCACGCAGTTTCTAAAAAAAAATTGTTTCATTAAATTTTCCAAATAAACAAAAAAGTTAGCTTTGAAATATCAATAATTTCCGAAACGTCAAAAATAAATCAATTTTAAGACGTTCATCATTGAACCCAGAAAAATACATGAAATCAGAACTGAGGCCAGAAGCGCCCGTTTATATTCCCGTCTTAAAAAATGAAGCCCAATCGCCAGGTTCACCCTCAAAGGAACCGCAATGTTCCAGATACTCCAGAAGATCAGTAAGACTATTAAATAGCGTGCTTAACAGTCCGCGACCTATTTTAGGAACGAAACCGCCGTTTCCCAGGGCTATCGTTGGCAGAAAAAAGGAGGAAAATGGAAAGAAAGATGAAGCCGAGGAATTCATTGGGAAGGAGTTTAGATCGCTTACGAGAAACTTGCAAAGGATGAAAATGAAGGAAGACAATAGCACTCCAAAGAAAAAGGACACATGTTGTTTGTAAGCTGTTTAAATTAATAAATTTATAGCATGTTGACTGGCGATATTTTCACAAGAAAATTGTAAAGTTTTAGTATTACCTTAAAATAAGCAAAAATATAGTTTACATAACATGCTTTCTTGTTTAATTTTGACTAAAAATTGTTTTCAAACATAATATGTTTAATTTATACAAATACAAATATTTAAAATAATAGATTTTTTAATTTAATATACAGGGTATCATTTGTATTGAAATTTTTTTATTTAATGAACTACAAGGTCGGTTAAATTAGACAAAAGTTGCGTAATTAGATAGATAGATAATTTGAAAAAAACTAAAAACCTGTCAAAACCAAAAGTCGTTAAAATTTCCTTGAAACTTTGAAAAAAGTGAGTTTTACACATATTTATCTACATTTTCATTTAATTTGTGATTTTTTTCGCCTACTGGATTTTGAGATACCACCACCATCATTTGTTTTTCATATGGCCGACATATTAGAATTTTAGACGGTTAGTTCAAAAAAAAATCAAGGAATCCAACGATGTATCACACTACATACGTAAGTTATGGCGGCCATTATTAAAACAAAAGATGGTGTGCGAAAAAATGCTATGAAAGTATAAACTAATGTGTGTTTACATGTAAAACTTTAAGTTTTAAACTTTGTTTCCAAATTCTTAGTAATAACAAAGTTATACCGTTTTTTCGTTTTGAAATATTTTGAGAATCGCTGGCTTTTTTCAATTTATTAATTTTATGTTTAAAGATTTGTAATTTCGCCACTTTTCTGTAATTTAAGCGTGGTATAATTCACAGTTTGTTTTAGAGTTTTACATGTTTTTCATTTATAAAAATGCTATTGACGCTATTAACGGATAGGACAGTTGGCGTGTTTTTATTTACAAAATAATATTGTTCTATTATATTACCAATGTAAAATTTTTATAAATAGTTCTAAACAAAAGCTGTTTAACAAGATTTTTATTTGGCAAAATTAGGTATCGTGATTGACTGTTTAATTCCTTAAAAATTAATAATTTAAAGCGTAACGGGCGGGACTATTACAAAGTCCCGTCCGTTACGCTTTAAATTACACGAGTCTACAAAAAAAAATTCGTTCTTTGTTCTAAAGTTTATTTTATGATTTTTCAGTTAATTATGAACAAAAACGAAAAGAAAATACGTTTTTTTGGTATAAAGTTTGCTTTTGTGATAGTTATAGTAATAATACTCATTTTTGAATTTTTTTATAAATTTTAATTAATTTTAATACATTTAAAAATACCACGCGATCAGAGTGGGGTTTTTACGTTTACATAGTGCCGCTAGATGGTACTTAAGTGATAAACAACGATTAGGTGTTTTGTACAAGTCTAGAAAAAATTAAAATGTCGTCGCGAACGTGTAAATATGATGCTGATGCAGTTTGTTATATATGTGGTCAATTTCGAGACGTAAAATACGAACTAAAGACATCTCACGTTCTATGTGAAGCCTACGAAGCATATTTTGACTGTCCTGTTCGGCATCAAGACAAGCCATGAGCTCCATATGTTGCTTGTAGTTATTGCAAAAGATGTTTGGAAGGTAAGCAATTTTTAATTAATCAAATATAATTATATTATATTATTATACTAGACATAATAATTTTTATTTCTATATTTTAGGTTGGTATTGAGGTGAAAAGAGGTCCATGAAATTTGCAATACCAAGGATCTGGCGAGTGCTACTTTTGCATTGTGAATCCGAGTAAGTAGAGGTAAAAATGCAACCTATCGAATATCCTGAACTTGAATCTTCTTCTGGTCCAATTGCACACGATCTGACACGACCAGTACCTGAGCCACCGAAAAAATTATCGCAGAAAAGTAGCTTATCTCTTAGTTTTAGTAAAAGTAATTCCGATAGGGAGTTTTTACCTACACTAGAACAACCAAAATACCACCTTATTACTACAGAAAATTTTAACGACTTGGTAAGAGATTTAAATTTGCCAAAAAATAAAGCAGAGCTTTTAGGCTCTTGCTTAAAACAGTGAAATTTGTTTGATGATTTTATATTATCATGGATCAGCGGACTAGGCATAAAACATTCTTAGCGTTTTTCACAAAAGAAGATGGACTTTGTTTTTGCAATGACATAAAAGGGATGTTCGAAGAATTTGGCATACCCTAGGCCCTAGGGGCCTAGCGAATAGCGTTTATTCATTGATAGGCCAACCAAAAGCTTGAATCTGTATCGCGAGTATAACTGGCAGTTGATTGGAGATTTTAAAATGGTGGAATTTTTAATGGGACTACAGAGCGGATATACAAAGTATCCCTGTTATCTGTGCTTATGGGATAGCAGAGCGGATGCTAAGCACTATATTCAACGGTCATCGCCTGTTAGAACAGAACTTTGTGTCGGAAAACAAAACGTAAAATTTTAGCCTATTGTTGAAGCGTAAAAAGTGTTAATGCCACCTCTGCACATTAAGTTAGGGTTGATGAAACAATTTGTTAAAAAACTGGATGAAACCTCAGAAGCTTTTGGATACTTAAAAAAGTTTTTCCGAAGTTATCAGAAGCAAAAGTTAAAGCTGGGGTTTTTGTTGGTCTGCAAATTAGACAGATTTTCGCCGATGAAAAATTTCCAACGTTGCTGATTCTTACTCAAAAAGAGAGTTGGGACAGTTTCAAAGCAGTAGTTTCTGGACTTTTAGAAAATAATAAAGCTGAAAACTTCGAAAAAGCGTACACTTTTAAATTATTTTCCACTTTTTTTGTAAGTTATTTTAAAAGTAAAACTTAATAAAAATAATAACATATTTATTTAAATGGTTTCATCTTCACGGTTAATTTTATAGACGATTTCAGAAAAAAAATATATAATCATCGAAAATTGTGTTTTTGGGTTTGTCCGACTCCCAAGTAACAGGAAACATGAAAATTAAAATCCTTCATGTAGGGCATTTTAGATAGTGGCCCAAAAATATGTCAAAAGTTAGTAACACTAAAAATATTAAATTAAAAAAACTTTTTTTAAGGATAATCTCGAGGATAATAGAGCGTTTAATTTTAAGTTAAAAGCGTCTCAAAAAGTTTTTTTGTAGATCCTATAGTTTTGTTCTAAAAAAAATCTTACTTACACTCACAGGCAAAATAATCGATCCACGCAAATTTTCGATGAATTTCAATCGCAAATAACTTTTTTATTTGATTTCGGATTTATACGAATATTAAACAATATTGTAGATAAATTAATGGACAATCGCTTTCACCGTCTTGACACTCGAAGAGGTCGGATGCGTCAAGATTCCTCCTAAGTGGCGTATACGATACAAACGTAAAGTACCAAAATCGAAACAAAGTATCCGGAAATATCGGTAATCGTTAATAAATAATAAATAAATACATAAATAAACAAACAAGTGCAAGAAGTGCGAAAATTGTGAGATAACGCCGTAAAAGTGTGCAAGTGAATAAGTACCTAATTGAGGCTAGGCAGCAACGATAAGTCAACCGGCGCACCTGGATCGGAGCGTTCCAAAAATATCCTTTTTCTATGCAAAAACCTGCAGGAGAAGGCCACCCCGCGAAAGACAAAGCATCAGGTTTATAGCCTAATAATCAAGCTAAGTAATTCTTCTAATTGCATGTCTTACCGTATAATCGTTAAATGTTTATATAAGCATTTCACAATGTTGCAAAAAAATCTAAGAATTCTATTCGTCTTAAAAATTAAATTTTAAAAAATAATAAGAACATTTCCGTAACTGTTAAATAAACAACCTAATTTTCTCATAGTAGACAAACGTAAACAACCAGTGTAAAAGGCGTAAGTAAATAAACCAATTCAAGCAAGAAGACAAAAATTTATCATAAATAAATTTAGGGTCACACCCATAAATCAAAGCCAAACTAATACACAGAACTCAAGAGCCAAGCAGGCCATAAGGCCGCATTCCACTATATACACTACAGGGCCGGCTCTATTTTGAAGATTGGTATTTACATAAAGTGATTAATTAATTAATTAACAAATTAATTGATTGATTGATATTGATATAATCGTATTGGTATTGGTATTGATGGTAATATTGTTGGTATTAATGTTGATGTTGATATTGGCATTATAGATATTGATATTAGTATTAATATTGATTGATTAGTTGGTTGATACTGATATTAACGTTAATATTGATTAATTGATTGATTGGTTGATATTGGTATTGATTATTTGTATTATTTTGTATTAGTATTGGTATTGACTAATTGATATTTATATTGAATTTATATACATAGATACTAATTTAACAGGAAACCAGGCAACAATTGATCATTGCAGAGGGCAGCGTGCGTGTGTGAAGGGAAATCAAGTGGGTGCGTCGCAATAATATATTATTGTATTATATATATTATATAATATACACATAAGCTCACGCAAGCAAAGCTTGGAGGATGGCGAAAGTAAATGGGCAAAGCCCCCACGTGAAAATGAAGTGGTAGGCCATCTATTGAGGCATGCGTTGCACGCCTGACATAGGGGCCGGGTTTCAAATATTGATGCGATACACCACAGGGCCGGCTTTATCTATTTTGTATATTAATATTTTTATTTTTAAATTAATTTGAAAAAAAAAATAAGTAAGATGGCAAAGATATAAATAAATGAAAACGGTATGAACACTAATATAGCAATAAAATAAATAAAGAATATACAAGGTTGGTAGCCGGAGTAAGCAAAAAACTAACATACCCACCCCCATTCACGAATACCAATTGAATGGGGATACTACTAAGGCCTAGGTTGAGGAGGATTCCGGATTGTACTTAGTTTTGGGTCAGTTCAATGTCCTCCAAAAACCCTTCCTAAACTGGACGTATGGCCCGACCCGGCTGACAAAAATCCCGGGAGCTGCCTTAACCTTTGACACTGTCATCCACGAACTCCTAGGGTGGATCTACCAGCCGGCGTAAAAACTTCGGATCCAACAAACACAGGTAATGCTGTGATTTGGCGGGATACGCAGAAGAACGGAAAGGGGGTAATATAACCCCGGGAGATCAGTGGATGACAATATATCTGGGGCTTGCCATACGTTCCCATACTCATACTCATAC